AAACGGTAAAATTAACCAAAATTTAACCACTTTCTGCTTCTGGGACTAGGAAAGACTTTGGTTATGAAAGAATAGTTTGAACAGCTGTTCACATCAACAATGAAGTTTGAAAAGATACTAGAACGGTGTGGTAACAAAATACTTGAATTAATGATTAATATAACATTTCCTCAGTAGAATAGCTATGTTATAAATCCGCCTATCCCCGATACTCGCCTTAATATAGTATCAGCAGACAGTATTTTACAAGAGAAATACTATGCAAATGTTATGAGCTTTTATGTTTTTTCTGTGAGAAACACTAATGTTTGTTCTTTTTATCAGCTTGGTTATCTGCAACTCCACGGGTTGAAAAAGAATCTCTTCATTATGTTTGATTGCGTTGAAATCATATTTTATATACTAAATAATAACTTCACTTCTGCGTGGTTAAATTCTATCTAAAACTTATTATAACTCACAGATGATTTACAATTCGATTTACTTTTGGTGAAACAAAACAAGAATTCTCCAGCATTGCACTATTATGGTGATTTTTTTTTTCGCAGAATGGCTGCGCTCAAAAATTGTTACGTTGTTCCCTTATAAGCAACATGAACGAAAAAAAGTACAAATAATTGATTAGTAAAGATGAAACAGTATCCGAAGAAATAACCTATGTGCTTTCGTATCAGTAAAAACGTTGACGCGTTCGGGTTCCCGTACATTTGAACCCACGACATTTGCACCTGGATACTATTGCACCTATGAATTTTTTTTGTTTCACAAATATTTGAACCCATACTAACCCTAACCCATGGGTTTTAGCCCCCGCATATAGATTGAACCCGCAGATATACACATGCGTTCAAATGTACGTGGGTTCAAATGTACGGTCACCCCGCGTTCCACTTACGGCAATTTACATTCGAATCCTAATTGAAAAAAAAATTGGTTCTGACTCTAGACTCGGAAAACAATCCTGACTCCGACTACAGCTCCGGACTCAAATCAAATTTTGATAACAAAATCTTTAGCGCATACAAGCCTCCATTAATTGACTGTTTAAAACTCTTAGTATGCTTGATGCTGTTTTGACTTTCATTATCACCATTGAATGTCTGGAATTCTGACTTCAACTATCGAATTCAAAATCTTGCAGTTTAATTAGGCTTCCAGGTCCAGTGAAAACATGCCGAATTCCTATTATACAGACCGGAAGTATTGAAACGCGCAAATCAGATGTTTGCTACAAAGTGGCACATATATTTAACGAAATGAATATTGGCAAAAAAATCTTTAGTTCTCAGAGATATGTAAATTAAATCAAAAAGTTTATTTGTTCCCACTACTTAGCCAGTTTTTGTCCAATTTCTTTATTTGATTGGGAAAGATGTTTAAACCAACTATCCATACCCAAAATGTTTTTTTCAGCCCCCAAAGGCGGATCTTGTTCGAATTTTGGATCAATTTAACGATTTTTTTGGATTTCTGTGAAATTCACGTTATTGCGTTGTATTAAAAGTATTTCGTTAGAAAACCAATTAAGGTATTTTCCAATTTCTTTATTTGATTGGAAAGATGTTGAAACCATCCATACCCGAAATATTTTTCAAGCACCAACGGCGGATCTTGTTCAAATTTTGGGTCAATGTAACAATTTTTCGTATTATACATGATTAAATATAATACGCCCAGAATTTATTGTTATAAACTACTTGGTGTGGGACAACTCTCCGTTGATGAACTGCAGTTTGCAATAAGAAATATTTTGGAATCTCACCCTACCTCATCGCAACGGATAACGGTATGGTAACTGTATGCATATATATATACATATTTGAATCTTCAATGCCGGTATGGTGGCAGTAGTAAGATAATAATTGAATGATGAAAATATCTTTGTTTGTATATAATAATGAGCTGACTTTGCTATCGAAAAAGTGTTTGATCGACAATATTTAAACGTAGTTGATAATCAGGTTAAACGCTATACAGTATTGTCATTCTGACAGTGACAGATACCGTCCTTTTTGAATGAATCGTTTTTCGAATGTAATCAGACCTAATGATTTACATCAGTTTTGCAACTCGAAGATTCAATATCGCAGTAAAGTGATAAATACCAATGCGATTGAACGGTGCGAGAGCTTATTTTTCCAACAACTTTCATCTTCATGATAGCGGTCTGATTGTGGGTATCGAAATCTGGAAGTCGATCGCATACTGCTTATACACCTCAACCGTAAATATATACTACTACCAAATATCAACCAAACCTCGCTCAAATAAGCGAAACACGTATAAAAAAATCGGACAAGTTTGAACACGCAAAAGCTTGGAATTATTTTGGATTTTTATTAGAGAACGGTCCAATTGCGAAATGTAACTAAACTACCGAATCAGCTGAAAATCCGGTCGGAACATATTGTATCGAATTGGTAACGCATTCGGGTTGACATATAACCAGTATAAAAGCTTAACCCGGTCTGGTATAGTTTGGTACCACATGTACTTCTAGTTGACCTGGCTCAACAATTTTTGCATATGTCAATCCTAACCCCCACCTGACTACGTCACCGAAAAATTACGTCATTTCGACGTCACAGTGGCATAATAAGTCCCACCGAAGTATGCGGGTGGTCGTCCAAAACGCGCATACGATCACCCGAAATCGAGCAAGCAATTTCTCTCGTTTTCTCGTCACAACGATCACAATAGGAGAGAGATCGCCGGCTTTAGCAAGTTTGTTATTGGCGACGCAGATGTCACTTTCGGCGATCGAAATTATACTTTGGCAATCCCTATGACGTGATGGTGACGTCGTAGTGACGTAATTTTTAGATGGCATAGTTAGGTGGGGGTTAGGAATAGCATATGCAAAATTAGTTATGCTACGCCCACCGGAAGTACTTGTGGTACTAAACTATACTAGAACTAGACCCGCCTAACCAAGACTCTCATACTCTAAGTAGCACAAAACTGTAACCAAGTGAAACTGTTGTTCGGTGACCGATCATGTATATCGAAGCTTACCATATTCGTTTAATCGTAAATATATACTACTACGGTTTAATGCTGCTGAGTTTCATAAAAAATTTGTTATTGACGGATACGGATTCTGAATTTGAATTTTTCGACGGCGTACTCAGGCTACTACTTTCCCGCCAACAGGTTCAGCGGTGACCGTACATCTGAACCCACGTACATTTGAACCCATGCGTATATCCGCGGGTTCAATCTATATGCGGGTGCTAAAACCCATGGGTTAGGGTTAGTATGGGTTTAACTATCCGTGAAACAAAAAAAAATCCATAGATGCAATAGCATACAGGTGCAATTGTCATGGGTTCAAATGTACGTGGGTTCAAATGTAATGGAACCGGTTCAGCGGCTAGCACTTCACTACTCAGTGCGGATTAGGATTTTTTTTTTTTTTGATTTTTTATGTTTAGTTAGGAAGCATCTTTATTCAACCGGGATTTTCTTAAAAACAATACAAATAGTTAATGTTACCGGTAACTGTTGATTTTGCACTGTAATACCTAAGCATTGTAGGCTATTCTGCTGTCATACCTGTACTCCCTGTGCGATGTGCCTTCAATCCTGACAATAACGTTACTTCTACTTACCGAGTACGTTAGTAGCTACCGGTACTGAACACTCGTGGGTGTTTACTTCTGTAGACTACTTTTGTACTGAGTATTCCGATTTATAAATATGGCCCCAAATGACTTTAGTTGCAAACGATAGGTCTGTAGGTTCCAACGTGAGTGATGTGAAATTTGACATTTTATCAAATTATTCACAGCATTGCTAGATATTCTTTTCAGACATAAGGCTATTTTTTTTTATTTTCCTTTTTATTGCTTAGTATGGGAATGTGATCCTGGAAAGTTGCTAAATAATGAGTAAATTAGTTATCCTTATTCCAAAATGGAAACTTCGACGAAAATGCAGTACAAAATTTGATAAACTTTCTGAATCACTGTCTAATCTATATCTGACCATGATATTCAATATATTCGCCTACTAGTTTGTTTTAATTTTAAATTATATTTTCCAGTAAATAAACTTTTCAGGACATTTATCCCCATCACCCATCGATTATCGACACTCTTTCGATTTAAAATGTTTCAATCAAAGGTTAGATTTGAAATAAAATACATTAGAGACAAGACATCTTTAGTGAGGGCACAGCGGTAGATTCAAGTTTTTTTACTGAATTAGTTCCATGTATCTCTAATATGCTGATTCTTCTCAGTTCGCAACCGAGAAAGTTTCTGCATATTCTGCTATTTTGAGACTCGGGAAACCTGCATATGATGCTGGGTGTTACAATATACTTTGACATATTCCATGTTTTCAATATTAAAAATTATTCTGAGAGCACCACTACGATGGAGTTTCTAAAACGTGCCAAGGAACTGTCATCAGATTCCTTTTCATTCGATGACAATGGTGATTGAATGTTTCATAACTTAGTGAGGTGCTTCTAAGTTCATGTGTGTAAAAAGCCGAACGACCAGTTATTGTTGGGTGTATTTATATACTGAACAAAATTCATCGTTTCTTCATTCAAAAACTGGAACAAAGTGAAAGTATGTTGCATTTTCAATTTGGATGTAAATCTAAGTTCTGGTAGGTTGCCGGCAAAATCTACGACCAAAACCAGACTGATGTATGTGTTATTAGCAGTACAGTAGCGTATCTGGGGTATGGCAGCCTTGGCGCCGTTTGGACAGGGGGCGAAAAGCCTTAATTATAAAATGTTGAAAATTGTCAAATTTGGAATAATTGAAACTCGTTTTTTTTACTCAAATAATAACGTAAAAGTATCTAATTTTAACAACAGTCGGTAAAAAATGTCAGTCAACGGCCACCGGGGGGCAATTTTATGTAGATACACCTAATAGATACCTACTGGTTGTTAGTTACGATGTTTGTTGGAATTAATTCTAAAGCTCGAGTTAAATACTGTGTCAGCTAATTACACTCCTGTTATCACTTAAATTTCCACAATAGATAATTGATATATTAATGAGATTTATATTACAGCATCTTTTGGTAGTATCTCAATTCACTTCATAATATTTAACTGAAAAAGTGTTTTGAATCACATCTACCACTAGTAATGTCTAACTATTACTAAAACATATCGTACAGAATACTTAATATATAAGTTATTGATATGCAAATTATGATCAAGTTTCCGGAATAATCGCTGCATCCGCTCTTCAATACCGGCAAAACGTTGCAATGATCTAAAATATATTTTAAAACTTATTTTGTAAAGAACTAACAGTTTTGTTCAGGCATTCAAAGTTTAGTGGATTTAGATCGTTTTAACGAAATATCGATAACATTTGCATATTTTCAACTAGTAGCTGAGGAGATATCGAGGAAAACTACTTTGAGTTTCCAGAAGTATGAAACATGTCAGGATGCATTCAAAATGCAACAACTCAAATTAAGAATTAGGTATAATGTCGCACCTCTACGACAATGTATGATCTGTCTTGTGGAATTGTCAAAATACTCATGTGTGCAGTTTGTAGTGTATTTTCCAGGAACGCAACCCCGAAAGTATTTTGCACCTTAACAAAAATAGATTGTTTTGTTGTAATCTAAGCTTATACAGTAAGAAGCTTTAAAATAGCAATGCTCAAATATATGGGCGTGAAGGTCGCGTATCTGTAACCGGTACTGTCAAGAGCTCCAAGTTTGCTGAAAAGAATGGTGAATAAACATCACGGGAGCGGCCAAGCATGACGGTAAATATAGTTATCCTTTTTAAGTAAAATAAAACAGCAAAAGTTTGGGTGACTTCTTCCTACTTAGTACAGAAAATTTGAATCGACTAGTCAATCAGTTGAGAAGAATTCGTCAAGTATTATTAGTACGCTGGTTACGCATTTTCAAAAGCAATTCTACGAAGATTGGAAAAACTATTATCCCAATATGATGTCTATATAAGCACTACATGTCGAGTGATATTTTCAGATGAAAGAAATATTAAAAGAAGTTGGACATGCGTTTATAATATTCTTCCTATATACTTAGTCTAATATTATCGTCAAGCAGAGATATACCAATGGCAAATAACTAAAAGCTTATTAAATTATTTTATAAATATCACAGAAAACACTTAAAATTCTTACGTATTCCTTTCAATGTTACGTCGTATATACATGAATGAGTTGATAAATCGCACGGAAGAATCCTGTTTTTATCGACCCATCCACACTCTGCAGTTTTTGTCATATTTTGATAATCCCCTTTTGGTATACTATGACTACAAGTGAAGCAATTAATGACACCTTTAAAAAAAAAGCTGATAAAGTGCTAGGGATCACAAATGACATCAGCAGGAACGCGTAGTTCTTTTTGATTTTGATTTTGTGAAATCTTGCTATGTGAAAGAATATGAAGTTTTTCGATACAGGTGACGCACTGTGTATACTGAATACGGTAATTTACTGTAAAAGGTAAAGCACTGTAAATTATTGTAAACTGCAGTTGTGAGTCAAATCATTTAGCATTTTAATTCACGTTGGCAGAAGACGCATGAATCACCATTGTCACAGGACCTAGTAAGACTAGGGCAGTCCGGGTACCGATACTAATGAGTTAAGATCGATTTTAATCAGTGGAAATGTTGATAGATATTTGTCTGTCTGTATGTATGTCTGTTAGATGCATGCGATATCTCACGAAAGCGAAATTGAATCTGCCCCAGATTTTGCATGTCCATTCATCATATCTCGGACCAGAAGCCTATTGATTTTGGGTCGTATAATTACGTCGTATAATTAGCGAGTTATTACTTAATTAGTGATGGGACACAAGGTGTCACTATAGAATAAGAGCGCTGTTTTGGGGGATCCCCTCACTTTCGATCGATAAGTCTTCGGTCTCTGACCGATATTCTCGTTTCATATACTGTTAGGTACGTTTTGCCATATTTTGATATGTTTGGACACGGCCTGGATAAAAGAGCACCTTTGTTCCAATGCAATGCATCTAATGATTACACTCAAACGAAATCGAATTTCATTATTTTCAACTTAATATGCCACTTAAAAATGCGGTTGGCCATTTTCGATATTTTATTTAAAACATTGATCCTGTTCCAGAATTTAATAATATTGTATTTTTGTTTCATGCTGGCTATTTTACCGTAATTGCCATCGATACAGAGCATTTCAAGCCATCATTAAAATAATTAGCAATCGTCAGATACACTGATTTGTTTTCAATACATGTATGTATAAATGATAAAAATTCATTTAATTATTGTCTCGTGTCTGCCAAGAAAGTATTTATTGGGAAATTATTTTAAGTCTCCATCAGTAGAGTAATATTTATTTGAGGAAGGTAACCTCGAGAGAATGAAAAACGTCACAGAAAGCAGCATAGGATACACATATGAAACAAATGATGCATACGATGCAAATGGAATCCAGATACGTCTCGTGGTATTCGGTATATGCCAGGTGCTGAATATTTCATCTTTTCTCGTGTCTACATGGATATTGGTCTCGATGATTCTGTTTGGTACAAAATATAAGCGATTGAGAGTAAAAACGACCAATGGGAAAAACAACTTATTATTTATAATGGTGTTTTCGACAACTATCCTGTATATTCCAAGAATATCTATGATTCAGTTAATGTTATATAACGATATTAACGTAACAGAAGACATCATGTGTGGTGTCGGATTGTTCGGATACAAATTTGTATATGTCATCAGCCTTTTTTTCGTGTATCTTACTTTGTGGTTTCGGCAACAAATTCTCTATTCCAGACCAAATGTAAGAAGTGCACTTCGAATGCCAGAATGGTTTTTCCGCTTCGTGAGTCCCATTTGTTTGGTAGCTATAGTCATTACTAATGCATATGCAATGTTTATGCACTTATACGTGGTCAAGACCGAAGGTGGGCCTATTGGATGCATTTTAATTGTGTACCCATTTACAAGAATCATGCATTTATGTCAAGTCGCACTGGTAGTCCTTGGTCAGATAACACTATTGTTGCTTTTTGTGAGTCCACTTTGTAAGAAAGTTAAAAATACTAAAAGTAAATTAAATCAGAACCACAATAAATCCATAATTCTGAATAATCCCAGCTTGAAATCAATCCCCAAAAAGTCAGCACTTGATTCCAAAATCTCTTCGATTGTTCCAATTCTGAAGAAATCAAGCTTCTTGTCTGCTTTATGCATAGTGAGCGATGTTATAGCATTTTTCGTAATTACTTTATATATGAATTTATTTCCCGAATTGAAAGCACAAAGCATAGCGTTGACTGCATTTGAAATGAACGCTCTCGTGAACAATGTTGCAATATTTCTGGAACTGAAAGACTGGAAATCAATCCTGTTCGTCATAGTCAATTGTATACGTTCGCAGAATCAATTGCCACAACAACACTCAACCTCTGTCAAAGAAGTTTCCACTGTTGCCACGACAGGATTCTAAATACGACATGTGATGTTTCGAGCTGCGAGATAGAAATGTAATATGTGACATATAATGAATATATAATATATTCAGCAATAACAATAATTGATCAATTTTGAATGTTGCTATTGACTGATAATGTTTGCATATAAAGTAGGGATAATAACATTTTTACTATTTTTTTTGTACACGAAATGTACATATTGAATCCTGGTTGCTAAATTATTGTTGTCAGTTTTGTTTTTATGAAGAAATCTCATTTTATCCACAAGAAATGGACCAAATGATTTTATAAAATTTCCGTATCTGGAGATGGCTAAACTGAAGGCTATTAATTTTATTTCAAATCTTATGGGTCTCATGGATCCCAATGTTTCACCCAAAACTATACTGTTTTATTTGAATCCTAGAAAATTTAATCCTAGTGTTCATATAATAAAGCGTTTTTTTCCTGATATTTATTTCAATTTAATTATCTATTGATTATAATTGATTGTTTTGTTATTTATAAGATCTTGAACCTGAACTATTGGCAGACAGCATGCAAAATAAAAGATAATAAAGACGATAAATAAAGGTCGTGTCACTCGGATAGTTGGTGGCGTAACGCGCTAGCCACATTTTGGTTTTGGGGGTTGCGAAATATTCTATTGGGATCTCTGGGGCTGCGCACATCGGAATGCAAGAGTTAAGTCAACTACGCAAACTATATATGTCCCACCTAGGTAAATTTATTCGTCTTCAACGATTGACAACCCAAAGGACTAATATTTTGTTTGCAACGTGCTATCGACAATCCGGTGAAATCCGTTGATGAATAAGCAAACCCTTTTAAAATCAAATCCGATTTTCATCAACTCATTCCCATTTGTTAATTTTACTCAACAATCCGTAGATTTCCGTGAAAATTTGATATACATTACCCAATATAATCGCTTTATGCCTACCCCTATGATCGTATTAATATTGTCAGGTAAGAAGTGATGCGAAGATGCAATATATATTGAATGTAAGATGATTAAAACTCAAGTTGGGAAATCAAAGTGTCAATATAGATATAGCACACGAAATAAGTCATTGAAAAATAGTGTGGAATTGTTATTGGTCGGCGTGGGTCAACTGAAAAACGACCCAAGCTCTACATCTTCACAAACTTTGAACGCAGAGGTGAGAGTTGATTGTAGTTGAGTGCCATGCCAAGTAAAAATGAAATTTAATGGTCTATTCCTGGGGGCAACCTGCTTTCGACTAAAATCTTTAAAATAGCTCGTGATCGACGGATCCGTGTTGAGGTCACACACAAAACGAATGAGTACGGAGTATGCAGATAACTGCAAACACGCATACAAAAAATATCACCGCTGCTAATAAGCTCGGCTCTATAGGTGCATTTTTTATAAAATCGCCACAGAAATTTGTATTTTTCATTTTTCATTCAATTTGATTGTTTATTATACCCGGCGTTTAATTCAAGTCACATAATTCAGATCTACATCTAATGTCTGTCGAATTTTTAGTCGTAAGTGTTGAAAAATACTCAAAAAACCTTGCCAATTATTCATATTCTCGAACCATGAATGCTCAAACTGTAGTATATATATTGCAATTTCCTCTATATCCGATTTTTCTCTCGCTTGGAATTAGAAATAATTTGGCATGCTGATGCCACTGCTACCATTGCAAATACAATATACCACACTACTCTTGGAGTGAGACAATAACTTTCGCATACTGTAGATGGAAGTTATTGTAGGTAGGATCAGACACACGCTAAGTTCATTTCTGAGCCTTGGTAGCGGCGAAACTTCCATTAGTTATGTAATAATGTGCTCTATCGGGCTTGCCCAGTCTCAAATACTGCAACTGTTACATCAGCAAAATGCTATCGAAATCCTGGAGCTAAATGAACGATGTCATGAAAACGTATTTCCACTTTGCGAAATATTTCTAATTGATAGCCGCGGAAAGTAGAATTGTAAAATTGAACGTTATTATGTAGCATCTGATCACACAAAGCATTTAGGATTAAAATAGTAGTTCAACAAAATATATTTGATACAACAACAAGGTACGGTAAATAAAAAAAAACAAATAATTGTTAAATTAACACTAAATTTGAACAAGATCTGCCTTTGCGGCTCAAAGAATATTTTAGGTATAGACGAATATTTTAAACATATTTCTAATCAATAGAAAAAATCAGTAGAAAAAATCAAAATACTCGAACAATATTCTAAAAAAATATTTTCTATACAGCGTACCAACGTAAATTTCACAAATTGTGAAAAATCGTCAAATTAGCCCAGAATTTGAACAAGATCCGCTTTTCGGGCACAAAAAATATTTTGGAAATGAATAGCTAGTTTCAACATCTTTCCAATCAAATAAAAGAATAGAAAAAAAAACTCCATCAGTTTTCTTGCAAAATACTTTTAATACAACGCCATAAAGTGCATTTAAAAAAAGAATCCGAAAAATCGTTAAATTGACCCAATATTTGAACAAGATCCACGTTTGGCGCTTGAATTTTTTTGTGGTTATGGATAGCTTGTTTCAACATCTTTCCAATCAAATAAAGAAATTGGAAATAAATTTGATCGCACTTATGTAAATTTTACAGAAATGCGGAAAACCGTTAAATTGACCCAAAATTTGTACAAGATCCGTCATTGGAGATCAAAAAATATTTTGGGCATGAATGGATACATCCAACATCTTTTCAATCAAATAAAGACATTGGGGAAAAAAAATTTTCTAGCAAAATACTCTAATACAATTCATAATGTAATTTTCACAAAAATATAATTAAACGGTAAAATTAACCAAAATTTAACCACTTTCTGCTTCTGGGACTAGGAAAGACTTTGGTTATGAAAGAATAGTTTGAACAGCTGTTCACATCAACAATGAAGTTTGAAAAGATACTAGAACGGTGTGGTAACAAAATACTTGAATTAATGATTAATATAACATTTCCTCAGTAGAATAGCTATGTTATAAATCCGCCTATCCCCGATACTCGCCTTAATATAGTATCAGCAGACAGTATTTTACAAGAGAAATACTATGCAAATGTTATGAGCCTTCATGTTTTTCTGTGAGAAACACTAATGTTTGTTCTTTTTATCAGCTTGGTTATCTGCAACTCCACGGGTTGAAAAAGAATCTCCTCATTATGTTTGATTGCGTTGAAATCATATTTTATATACTAAATAATAACTTCACTTCTGCGTGGTTAAATTCTATCTAAAATTTATTATAACTCACAGATGATTTACAATTCGATTTACTTTGGTGAAACAAAACAAAAATTCTCCAGCATTGCACTATTATGGTGATTTTTTTTTTCGCAGAATGGCTGCGCTCAAAAATTGTTACGTTGTTCCCTTATAAGCAACATGAACGAAAAAAAGTACAAATAATTGATTAGTAAAGATGAAACAGTATCCGAAGAAATAACCTATGTGCTTTCGTATCAGTAAAAACGTTGACGCGTTCGGGTTCCCGTACATTTGAACCCACGACATTTGCACCTGGATACTATTGCACCTATGAATTTTTTTTGTTTCACAAATATTTGAACCCATACTAACCCTAACCCATGGGTTTTAGCCCCCGCATATAGATTGAACCCGCAGATATACACATGCGTTCAAATGTACGTGGGTTCAAATGTACGGTCACCCCGCGTTCCACTTACGGCATTTTACATTCGAATCCTAATTGAAAAAAAAAATTGGTTCTGACTCTAGACTCGGAAAACAATCCTGACTCCGACTACAGCTCCGGACTCAAATCAAATTTTGATAACAAAATCTTTAGCGCATACAAGCCTCCATTAATTGACTGTTTAAAACTCTTAGTATGCTTGATGCTGTTTTGACTTTCATTATCACCATTGAATGTCTGGAATTCTGACTTCAACTATCGAATTCAAAATCTTGCAGTTTAATTAGGCTTCCAGGTCCAGTGAGAACATGCCGAATTCCTATTATACAGACCGGAAGTATTGAAACGCGCAAATCAAATGTTTGCTACAAAGTGGCACATATATTTAACGAAATGAATATTGGCAAAAAAATCGTTAGTTCTCAGAGATATGTAAATTAAATCAAAAAGTTTATTTGTTCCCACTACTTAGCCAGTTTTTGTCCAATTTCTTTATTTGATTGGGAAAGATGTTTAAACCAACTATCCATACCCAAAATGTTTTTTTCAGCCCCCAAAGGCGGATCTTGTTCGAATTTTGGATCAATTTAACGATTTTTTTGGATTTCTGTGAAATTCACGTTATTGCGTTGTATTAAAAGTATTTCGTTAGAAAACCAATTAAGGTATTTTCCAATTTCTTTATTTGATTGGAAAGATGTTGAAACCATCCATACCCGAAATATTTTTCAAGCACCAACGGCGGATCTTGTTCAAATTTTGGGTCAATGTAACAATTTTTCGTATTATACATGATTAAATATAATACGCCCAGAATTTATTGTTATAAACTACTTGGTGTGGTACAACTCTCCGTTGATGAACTGCAGTTTGCAATAAGAAATATTTTGGAATCTCACCCTACCTCATCGCAACGGATAACGGTATGGTAACTGTATGCATATATATATACATATTTGAATCTTCAATGCCGGTATGGTGGCAGTAGTAAGATAATAATTGAATGATGAAAATATCTTTGTTTGTATATAATAATGAGCTGACTTTGCTATCGAAAAAGTGTTTGATCGACAATATTTAAACGTAGTTGATAATCAGGTTAAACGCTATACAGTATTGTCATTCTGACAGTGACAGATACCGTCCTTTTTGAATGAATCGTTTTTCGAATGTAATCAGACCTAATGATTTACATCAGTTTTGCAACTCGAAGATTCAATATCGCAGTAAAGTGATAAATACCAATGCGATTGAACGGTGCGAGAGCTTATTTTTCCAACAACTTTCATCTTCATGATAGCGGTCTGATTGTGGGTATCGAAATCTGGAAGTCGATCGCATACTGCTTATACACCTCAACCGTAAATATATACTACTACCAAATATCAACCAAACCTCGCTCAAATAAGCGAAACACGTATAAAAAAATCGGACAAGTTTGAACACGCAAAAGCCTGGAATTATTTTGGATTTTTATTAGAGAACGGTCCAATTGCGAAATGTAACTAAACTACCGAATCAGCTGAAAATCCGGTCGGAACATATTGTATCGAATTGGTAACGCATTCGGGTTGACATATAACCAGTATAAAAGCTTAACCCGGTCTGGTATAGTTTAGTACCACATGTACTTCTAGTTGACCTGGCTCAACAATTTTTGCATATGTCAGTCCTAACCCCCACCTGACTACGTCACCGAAAAATTACGTCATTTCGACGTCACAGTGGCATAATAAGGCCCACCGAATTATGCGGGTGGTCGTCCAAAACGCGCATACGATCACCCGAAATCGAGCAAGCAATTTCTCTTGTTTTCTCGTCACAACGATCACAATAGGAGAGAGATCGCCAACTTTAGCAAGTTTGTTATTGGCGGCGCAGATGTCACTTTCGGCGATCGAAATTATACTTTGGCAATCCCTATGACGTGATGGTGACGTTGTAGTGACGTAATTTTTAGATGGCATAGTTAGGTGGGGGTTAGGAATAGCATATGCAAAATTAGTTATGCTACGCCCACCGGAAGTACTTGTGGTACTATACTATACTAGAACTAGACCCGCTTAACCAGGACTCTCATACTCTAAGTAGCACAAAACTGTAACCAAGTGAAACTGTTGTTCGGTGACCGATCATGTATATCGAAGCTTACCATATTCGTTTAATCGTAAATATATACTACTACGGTTTAATGCTGCTGAGTTTCATAAAAAATTTGTTATTGACGGATACGGATTCTGAATTTGAATTTTTCGACGGCGTACTCAGGCTACTACTTTCCCGCCAACAGGTTCAGCGGTGACCGTACATCTGAACCCACGTACATTTGAACCCATGCGTATATCCGCGGGTTCAATCTATATGCGGGTGCTAAAACCCATGGGTTAGGGTTAGTATGGGTTTAACTATCCGTGAAACAAAAAAAAATCCATAGATGCAATAGCATACAGATGCAATTGTCATGGGTTCAAATGTACGTGGGTTCAAATGTAATGGAACCGGTTCAGCGGCTAGCAGGTTACTCACTTCACTACTCAGTGCGGATTAGGATTTTTTTTTTCGATTTTTTATGTTTAGTTAGGAAGCATCTTTATTCAACCGGGATTTTCTTAAAAACAATACAAATAGTTAATGTTACCGGTAACTGTTGATTTTGCACTGTAATACCTAAGCATTGTAGGCTATTCTGCTGTCATACCTGTACTCCCTGTGCGATGTGCCTTCAATCCTGACAATAACGTTACTTCTACTTACCGAGCTACGTTAGTAGCTACCGGTACTGAACACTCGTGGATGTTTACTTCTGTAGACTACTTTTGTACTGAGTATTCCGATTTATAAATATGGCCCCAAATGACTTTAGTTGCAAACGATAGGTCTGTAGGTTCCAACGTGAGTGATGTGAAATTTGACATTTTATCAAATTATTCACAGCATTGCTAGATATTCTTTTCAGACATAAGGCTATTTTTTTTTATTTTCCTTTTTATTGCTTAGTATGGGAATGTGATCCTGGAAAGTTGCTAAATAATGAGTAAATTAGTTATCCTTATTCCAAAATGGAAACTTCGACGAAAATGCAGTACAAAATTTGATAAACTTTCTGAATCACTGTCTAATCTATATCTGACCATGATATTCAATATATTCGCCTAATAGTTTGTTTTAATTTTAAATTACATTTTCCAGTAAATAAACTTTTCAGGACATTTATCCCCAATCAATGTTTCAATCAAAGGTTAGATTTGAAATAAAATACATTAGAGACAAGACATCTTTAGTGAGGGCACAGCGGTAGATTCAAGTTTTTTTACTAAATTAGTTCCATGTATCTCTAATATGCTGATTCTTCTCAGTTCGCAACCGAGAAAGTTTCTGCATATTCTGCTATTTTGAGACTCGGGAAACCTGCATATGATGCTGGGTGTTACAATATACTTTGACATATTCCATGTTTTCAATATTAAAAATTATTCTGAGAGCACCACTACGATGGAGTTTCTAAAACGTGCCAAGGAACTGTCATCAGATTCCTTTTCATTCGATGACAATGGTGATTGAATGTTTCATAACTTAGTGAGGTGCTTCTAAGTTCATGTGTGTAAAATGCCGAACGACCAGTTATTGTTGGGTGTATTTATATACTAAACAAAATTCATCGTTTCTTCATTCAAAAACTGGAACAAAGTGAAAGTATGTTGCATCTTCAATTTGGATGTAAATCTAAGTTCTGGTAGGTTGCCGGCAAAATCTACGACCAAAACCAGACTGATGTATGTGTTATTAGCAGTACAGTAGCGTATCTGGGGTATGGCAGCCTTGGCGCCGTTTGGACAGGGGGCAAGCCTTAATTATAAAATGTTGAAAATTGTCAAATTTGGAATAATTGAAACTCGTTTTTTTTACTCAAATAATAACGTAAAAGTATCTAATTTTAACAACAGTCGGTAAAAAATGTCAGTCAACGGCCACCGGGGGGCAATTTTATGTAGATACACCTGATAGATACCTACTGGTTGTTAGTTACGATGTTTGTTGGAATTAATTCTAAAGCTCGGGTTAAATACTGTGCCAGCTAATTACACTCCTGTTATCACTTAAATTTCCACAATAGATAATTGATATATTAATGAGATTTATATTACAGCATCTTTTGGTAGTATCTCAATTCACTTCATAATATTTAACTGAAAAAGTGTTTTGAATCACATCTACCACTAGTAATGTCTAACTATTACTAAAACATATCGTACAGAATACTTAATATATAAGTTATTGATATGCAAATTATGATCAAGTTTCCGGAATAATCGCTGCATCCGCTCTTCAATACCGGCAAAACGTTGCAATGATCTAAAATAATATTTTAAAACTTATTTTGTAAAGAACTAACAGTTTTGTTCAGGCATTCAAAGTTTAGTGGATTTAGATCGTTTTAACGAAATATCGATAACATTTGCATATTTTCAACTAGTAGCTGAGGAGATATCGAGGAAAACTACTTTGAGTTTCCAGAAGTATGAAACATGTCAGGATGCATTCAAAATGCAACAACTCAAATTAAGAATTAGGTATAATGTCGCACCTCTACGACAATGTATGATCTGTCTTGTGGAATTGTCAAAATACTCATGTGTGCAGTTTGTAGTGTATTTTCCAGGAACGCAACCCCGAAAGTATTTTGCACCTTAACAAAAATAGATTGTTTTGTTGTAATCTAAGCTTATACAGTAAGAAGCTTTAAAATAGCAATGCTCAAATATATGGGCGTGAAGGTCGCGTATCGGTAACCGGTACTGTCAAGAGCTCCAAGTTTGCTGAAAAGAATGGTGAATAAACATCACGGGAGCGGCCAAGCATGACGGTAAATATAGTTATCCTTTTTAAGTAAAATAAAACAGCAAAAGTTTGGGTGACTTCTTCCTACTTAGTACAGAAAATTTGAATCGACTAGTCAATCAGTTGAGAAGAATTCGTCAAGTATTATTAGTACGCTGATTACGCATTTTCAAAAGCAATTCTACGAAGATTGGAAAAACTATTATCCCAATATGATGTCTATATAAGCACTACATGTCGAGTGATATTTTCAGATGAAAGAAATATTAAAAGAAGTTGGACATGCGTTTATAATATTGTTCCTATATACCTAGTCAAATATTATCGTCAAGCAGAGATATACCAATGGCAAATAACTAAAAGGTTATTAAATTATTTTATAAATATCACAGAAAACACTTAAAATTCTTACGTATTCCTTTCAATGTTACGTCGTATATACATGAATGAGTTGATAAATCGCACGGAAGAATCTTGTTTTTATCGACCCATCCACACTCTGCAGTTTTTGTCATATTTTGATAATCACCTTTTGGTATACTATGACTACAAGTGAAGCAATTAATGACACCTTTAAAAAAAAAGCTGATAAAGTGCTACGGATCACAAATGAGCAGGAAATCAGCAGGAACGCGTAGTTCTTTTTGGTTCGATAACGGTGTTCCATACATACTTGCATAGCAATCAGTGGCTAATTTTGGCATGAAAAAGATTAGAAAACAGATTTTCGGGCTTAGTTTTTCAATACGCTGCGTATCGAAAACTCACCACCTAGAATTTGACAAAAATAAAAGATTTTGTGTAGAAGCATTACCTACCTATAGCCGGCAAATAAGTGCTGATGTTTAATATTTGTTCTTCTGAGGTAGGATAACCTCTATTGCATTTGTCTACAAATATAAAAACAAACTCAATTTTATCAATTTGTGTAACATACGAGGTACGTGTTGTATCTGATCATGAGCATATTGTATAAATACCCTGGACTATTACCTTCATCTTTACACATTTTATTGATTATTTTCCCTCCGCTGTCAGAAGTACACGTAAAATTCTTGCTCTCATCACATCTTGAACATGAACGTAGCAAGTTTGTGTTTCCTTCTATAATATTTGGAAAAAATAGTTTTCTAGTGATAGCGATAAATTTTTTCAAACGTTCAAATTTTAGTGAGTAATTTTGAATGAGAAAAATAAGGTAATTGATCATTTAGCTAAAGAAAACAATGTGATGTTGATAATTTCCTTTGGACAAAACTTTTATTATGTTATAGGAATATGCTAAATAACTGGTACAACGGAATATCAGATACCAAAAGTTAAACGGTATATTGTACAGGCGATTAGAAGCACCGAGTAAAGTGTAATATTTATAGTAATATTTGATTCGAACTTGAATATTTTTCAACTTTCTACTAAACTAATTGATATAATAGCAAATAGTGTATCACAAATTATGCGAATAGTGTGAACATAATCAATTTTAAGACAAACTGTTGTTGTTGTGGCAATTCGAATAATCAGTGAAAATTTTTTTTCATCAAAACCTTTGATATCAGCATTCCACCTGCAACAGTTATTAGGTGCTCTGCAAAAAATATTGAACAGTTTTCCTTTCTTACAAGCAGGAAATGATAGATTGTCGTTGCAATATGCACATCTTGTTGAACATACTGAAAAAAAGTCAAAGAATATATGTTTTGAGCTTGTGCGAAGAAGAACACTCCGCGCCGAATGGCACGTAAATACTTCATATTTCCTCCATATCGTTAACGGTAGGAAATGACGTTGCAGAGCGATACAATTTTGTGCCTCAAATAAGTACCAGTGTACAACAGCCTCTTTAAAACGGCATTTTCCCAAGAATACATAGGGACCCAGCAAATTTTCAACAGAATGGGCTGAGAGCGTGTTTAGCTAGTTGCTTAGAAAATTCTTTGTAAAGATTATAATATTTTCTTTGTTGTGTACTACAACTTTACAGAACAGAGGTTAAACCTTTTGGGGATATTCCTGTAGTTACAAGCTGGTACATCATTCTTGCATTACATGAATACGGATCCACCGTCGTCAAAGCATAAAAAAAAGGATGAGTAAATAAACCCAATGCATAAACAAGAATACAATATTTATGATATGTGACTAAAATAGTATAATTCACAAGTAGAATATACAAAATACTATCTACTACTACATGCATTTTTATGAGTATGATATTATTAAAAAAACAAACTCATGAGTCATGTGCTATGCACAAATGCTACGTAACCATATTTTCAATTTTAATTGTAATAAAAATGTTACCTGGATAAAATATCATAACAATTATTAAAACAAATAATTCTACGACTTCAGCCTTGCTGGCCATTTCTACATCTGAAAACAATTTGAATTGGATAGATATTTCATCGTTCATATCTGACGTTTACGGATATCAAGTGATTCATGCACGGATGTCAAAATTTGACCTTTGATTGAAAGGCAATATCTCAATAAATTTATATACCTATATCAGTTAAGACGAGATTATATGTATATGTTAAGACTAAGAGTCTCGATCTGTCCGTTACCCAATTGCATTTCAATGCCCCAGCTCTGTCAAATTTCAGAGTTCCTTTTTGAAGTAAATGATATGACACCGGTTCATGTCATTTGACTGTATTGCCTGCTCATCCTGAGGGAGATCTCGATTGATAAATTTGAAGATGGTTATATGGTTCTCATCGCCATATAGATGTCGTATTGTCTGCTTTGCTGTTTGAAATTTTACCCGTTTTTGGACACAAAATGGAACGTTTTGTCATTTTGTATTTCCCATCTTGCTGTTATGAAAAAAAACGCTTATCTCATTAACTACTTGACCAACTGCTCTGGAATTTTTAGAGGTTGATGATTGTATTTTTCGCTAGAAGGCTAATAAGGCATTTATTTCAAAACATTTATGTGGGCTCCATGGGATTCGTTTATCACTAGGATTTTTTGTGTGGGACAACATCAAAAATTAAAAACTGCGTTCAGTGGTTCCGTGATCGCATCTCAGGACTCTGGTGGTCAGACTACTGGTGTTGTAAAAGATTTAATACTTCTTCGTTTTGGCTTTCTATTTCATCTATTTGATCAGTGCTCTCTTGTTTTAAATTCAAGTACTTCACAAGTTTATTGTAAATATAGGTGCAATATTTTTTAGGATAATTTTCTGATTGATTGTGAAATATATGGAATTACCATTATGTCCAACAACAGGAAGACTTGATTTGGTATTATTGATGTATGTGCCAAACTAAATTAATTGCGTCTTGTTATCTTTTTCGTATGTCATATCATGCTATTCAGACTAACAGCAAAAATATACCCATTCGGAATACAACACCGTTTGAGTTAAGGTAAACTTAAGTTTTCAATCAAGAAACAAATTAATCCTTTTAATTAATTGCAAAATAAGAAGTGCTTTTTATTCAGACGATTGTTCACTTAATTCGTTGCATTTCGAAGTGGCAAATTTCCTCACATGACTTGATCATATATAAAATAAAAACTCGCTGTTACTGTTTTGGGTATTTGATAATTTTTTGATCATTAACGAGCAATTGGTTATCGACTCGTGGATAACACGTGGAAATCTATTTGGCTTTGGAACAGAAACATCTATATATCTGTTATTTGTTTGATTTTTATTAAAAGCAATTTTATCAATTCAATAATCCGTAAATAGACGAAGCAAGTTGTCCGACATATTAACCTAGATAGGTGCTTCATCGCAGATTAGATATCCTGTATTCGATTACTTCTTGGTCACTCGAACGAACTAATATAATATTCCTTCCTGCGCCTTTGCATACGCGACTATTTATTTTAGCTCTCAGGCTTGAAGCAATGACGAAAAATATGTCATTCAATCCAAAAATCCACCGATAATAATAGTTTTTTTGAAAATCCACTACCCCTTCAAACCATTAAATAAATGACAATAAAACATTTTTTGAAGTTACATATTTATTAGGTTATATATATATGGTTAGTGTTTATATAGAAGCAGTACGTATGTTCATTGAATATATGTGGTTTACGTAATATTAGAAATGAGATGAACATGAAAGCTATATCCAAATATGAAGCATGTAGTCATTAACGTTTTCTTCCAAATGGTATTCTGAAACTAAGGCCAGCTCGAGATCCTCCAAATGTACTATGTCCCTATTAAACAGTTGTTGTTAGTCTCGTCATTTTTATGACAGCTTACACTGAACAAATTGAAACGGCATACGATACAAATTATACATCAGTTATATTCCCACAATTCCTAGAGCTTTGTTTGCACTCAGGAGACCTTGGGTATTCATTGTAGTATACGATATAGATTGAACAAGCTAAATACTTCTTAGTAAGTAAGTAGTAAGTTTATCTCAATGAGGTAAACTCAAAATGCAAATGGTGTCGCATATGATTGAAGTATAAATCGTTATTTAAAACCATTTTCTTAGTGAAATTCATTGCCTAATTGCATTGTATTAAATTGATAGCGTCTTTATTTCACATCTACACCGACTAACGTATTTACTCAATGCAACATAAAGAACAGTACTAACTTACCGCATTTACACCAAAATATCCTGGTCCAACTTTCTGAAATTCAAAAATGTTGAATCAATTTAAATACATATTACACAAATAAATATGATATGAAAATTTAATGAAACAGTGACGATCGTAATGCACGTCAGCAATTTGGCATGAGATATATCTTTACAACATTAACTGATCGAATACAAAAAGTTTAATTAATGAATGATTATGGGAAAGAATGAAATTTCTTTAAAATAGTAATCGTGCAAGCCACCAAATGAAGTTGCATCATGAAAGATTATTACAAGCCTTGATTATTGAAAACTTGAAGTGATAGTAATGAACTTACTCTCTCAATAGCTCCTCGAACTCCATGGTCCCCGAAATTTGATGTATGCTGAATAAATTTGTTAAAAAATGTCATATTAGCTTAAAACCAATAATATTTTTATATAAATTAGACTTATAGTATGCTCATTTTAACAACATTATATTTAAATTAATAATGAAACCAAAATATTAAAAAGGAACTCGATAAAAATTTCAGTTGTCGCCAATGTTCAATCTGGGAGTCTAATCTAAACTGGGACATTGTCACTATTGCCGTTACGTTACATGGCGCGCTTGAAAATGTAAACAAAAAATGAACATATATAATCTATATTGTGCTTACCCCTCCTACCATCCAATTATATTTGTCGTTCCTCTAAAATTGAAAATTATTTGAATTTTTGTTATTCATCTATTAATTTGGTTTATAAATGCATGTAGGTAATAAAGATTTTAGCTTGAAAATATACAAATTTAAACTTACGTCACGGTATTCGGCATCAACTTTGAAATATTTCCCACGAGCCATCTGTTTATTAAATAGAAATTATCATGAATTCGTGTTTCCAACAAAATAAAACTTCGAATTAGTCAACTCAAAACGTTTTTCACAACTTTACTTTTAGTAAGAATTCAAAAATTAAGTGAATATTATTAACATACTCATTTTCTCCCGAACTCAAGCTCGAAAAATCCCTAACAGACATTTTAGTCTAATTATATTCGTCGTTAAATAGTTTGATTTTTGTTTCTATATTCAATCTTTAAATAAATTGATTTTTATACGATATAAATATACCAGGAAAATGGACTAAATCAACTTACTGCTGCAATAGTTATATCAGGTCTTTTCGGTGTTATTCGTGGCATAAATGTCGGCAGTCCGTGTGGTCCTAAAGTTTAGTTTAGTTAGGATTCCTTCATTTGTACATCGTCATCGTGATGATTATCGCTATCTCGTCGTCGTCATCATTACTGTGTTGTTTTCTCGTATTCGACGTGTCGCATTTTTCTCTTTCACGTGTTATCGTGTTACGTATTTATTTTATTATCGTCCCCTAAGCTCAGCAAGATGTTTAAGATTGCATTTCTGGTGGTAGCAGTTTAGGATTTCATTTCTTGTTATGGCAGTTTAAGATTACATCGCCTTTATAACGTTGAAGTTTGAATTCATTCAATAGTCTTCTTTTATACTGTATTTCGAATCGTTCGATATAACATTATGATATTTGCATGTCTACAGCTCGTATGGTATTGCATTTATAGTTACTGTTTTACCTTGGTTGTATATCTGTCGTTTTGGGACTATGCTGTTATATGGAGTTGTTTTGTGTAAGTATTAGTTTTATATTCTGTATCATTTGTCTTTGATTTATTTGGTGCTAATTATTTCATTTGTATTTTAGTCAACCGTTTTGAATACTTTCAATAAAACGAGTCTGGCAAATCGACTTATCATTTCCGGGTCCCAAAAGTGACAAAGTTGAACAAATCTCCTTGCGACGACGATGAACGAAGCAGATGAATCAATTACACAAGATTTGAATAGACGAGAAGCTTCTTCTTCGCCTGCAGTTCCTCTCGCGGAAACAGACGACGGTAACTCTGAAACTATTGGACGCAATGTATTATGCCACGAAAGAGTCCGACTACAAAATGAACTAAATGGTTTGTGCGACAGAATTTCAAAATCGATTACTGAAAATGCTCAAAATTCTATCGTTACTGATCTTAAAATTAAACTTCATGTTAAACGAATTGCTTATGACCAAGTGATGGATAAACTCATTCCGACTACCCGTAATCCAAATGTTTTGAAGAAATATGAAACTGGAAGGCAAATGATGTTATCGAAAATCGATCAAATTGAAAGCAGAATTAATTCTTACCTTGACGAGGAGATCGTTTCTGATCACGGGTCTGTCGAATCCAATACAAGCAAATGCAGTGTTGAATCACTGAAGCGATTGCAACTTGAGCAAGAACGAGAGGTAGAAAGAGCCGATTCTCTTGTACGTATGGCTAAACGAGACTTTCTCACAGAAGAAGATACCATTCGCAATAAAATATCAGCACTAGAGCGTCGCCTTGATACCAAACGTCGAGACATAAACGAAAAAGAACGAATGGCAGATCTAACACGTCGCCAAGCTGACGAACTTATGCGTGAAATTGAACAAGAAAAGACTGAATTGGCTACCAAAAAGATGCCTAAAGATAACTTCCGTGGCGTCAATATTGAATATCCGTTAGAGTCAACACGCAGACGAAGTGCAGCGAACTTTTTTGTTCCGACGAAGAGTCAAGTGGCAACAAATTCAGAAAAGACCAAAGAATTGCACTTCCCGACAGCACGAACTTACAAACGCCCGTCTCCTGCAAACAGAATGCTCATACCACAAGAAGCAGTCGACGCGTGGATTGACCACTTGGAACCTAACCAGTCTGGTAAATTTTCTGTTAATTCTTTTAATATGTCAGTAGAGGAACAAACTATGTTATCATTACAGTTGAATTCTAGAATATTGTCCCAGCACCATTTATCGCCGATTACGATTCCTAGTTTTAGCGGAACGCCCCTAGAATGGCCAAACTTTATTGAGTTATTTTTTGATAATGTACACAGTTCTCTTGACGACGACGGTTCGCGTATGGTTCGCTTAGTCGCGTCTTTGACGGGGTGGCTAAACGACATGTCGATGGCTTAGGCACGGTGGGAAGTAATTATATTGTCGCGTTGAGTGAATTGAAACATATATTCGGCCAACGGGTGACGATTGCTCGGGCCTTTCTCGAGAAGGTTGTAGATGGTAGACGAGTAACAGAATTCAGTATCCGAAAAATATCCGATTTTCATTCTGAAGTTCGCGACATTGTGATAAATTTGAAGAAAATGCGATTGCTTGCAGATTTGTATAGTATTGAAAATGTTAGAAAGACAGCAATGCGAATTCCGGCAGAACTGACCTCGAGTTGGAATAAGTTTGTGACTGATATGATTCGTGCCGACGAAATGCCGAGTTTACTGGACTTCGAGCAGTGGTTGTGGGAACGATGCGAGGAATTAGGAAATCCTTTTTCACCAAATCTTTTCAGTACTAAAATAGATCGTGACGATCGCAGACAGGCATTTCCTAAGAAGAATGTGGTATACCCTTTATCGGGTCATTCAAATCAGCCGCTCGAACAACCGCGAATGCAATGTTTCTATTGCAATGGTTTTCATTCTTTAAGTAACTGCGATAGCTTCAGGTTTAGTGCCAATGACACGAAAAGAAGATTTCTACTAAATTCACGCCTGTGCTTTAACTGTCTCGAACCTGGACATTTAGCTATTTCGTGCCGGTTCCGCAATATGTGTCGTGTTTGTCCCGGTAAGCATCATTCAGCCATCCATGGTTTGAGAGTCGTTCCTAATAGATTGAGTGATAACAATCAGCCTGATCTCCCTCCTCATATGAGCGGCGTTGCCAATTCTCATGTTTCAGGCGTTAATGGTGTTCAGTTTCAGCTTTTGCCAGTCGTAGTAAAAGGCCCATTGGGATCCTCTGAATATGCTATCGCTGTTCTAGATTCTGCCAGTCAAATCTCAATAATACATCCCAAATTAAAACAAAAACTTGGTTTAAAGGAAGTCCTAGGTGTCTAACCATTAACACCTTATGCAATAAGGGCGTTTCGCAAAATACGGAGGTGGTGAAATTGTCGGTGCGATCTGCTCACGACGAGAGTGGTCAAATTCTGATGTTAAGCAACGTGTTTGTGGTCGAGTCACGCATACCACATCCAGCTAGAATCCTTAAGAACGATCACAATATGACTCACCTGCAGGATATTCCGTTAACCGACATTGAAGCGAACAAAGCCATGATTTTAATCGGAGCCGATAATCCCTTGCGCATTTCCAGCTTGAACGTAGAGTCGGCCAGCAACATGAACCAGTGGGTATTAAAACTCCTCTCGGTTGGACTTTGATCGGGTCTTCAGGCGCGACTAATGAAGATGAAACTGTTTCAAATATGCTGTGTTGTGATTTGCGTGACCAGTATAACATGCTGCAAGAACAAGTCGAGCGATTTTGGTCCACTGAAGCTGTAGGCACGGCGTACAATTTGACCCGTAGCGAGTCGATTGAAGATAGACAAACTGATAATTTGATGGAAAGAAAAATTAGATTTATCGACGGTCATTACGAGGTTGGGTTTATGTGGAGAAATGAAAATTGCGAAATGCCGCAAAACGAACACGTAGCGCTTAACAGGTTCGAAAATCTCAGAAAACGACTCCAAGGAAACGAACGTTTGCGAAACTTATATTGTAAAGAAATGGCAAAGAATATTGAAAGGGGTTGGGTGCGTAAGCTAACTTCAGATGAAAAGGCGTTTCGCGGTCCTCGAACTTGGTTTCTGCCTCATCATGGCGTTGAAAATCCCAACAAGCCAAATAAACTAAGAATTGTTTTTGACGCGGCATCTACTTGCTGCGGCGTCAGTCTGAACAGTCGATTGATGTCCGGGCGCGATTTGATCAATAATCTAGTCGGGGTGCTTTTACGTTTTCGGGAAAGACCAATCGCTATAAGCGCCGATATAGAAGCCATGTTTCATATGATTCGATTGCCGGAAGATGATACGGATTCTGCACGTTTTCTCTGGTCGGAAGACCTTTTTTCAACCAAACGGCCAGATGTGTATAAATTCTTAGTTCGTATTTTTGGAGCTGTGGATTCACCTTATGTCGCAAACTTTTGTTTGAAGAGAGCTGCGTACGATAGTAGAAACAAGTTTCCTAGAGACGTAATATTAACTACCGATAGAGACTTTTATGTCGATGATTTACTTACTTCGAAATGGAATGTTGATTCCGCGGTATCGACAGCTAAAGATATGATTAAGATGTTACACGATAAAGGATTCAACTTGACCAAGTGGGTTTCGAATTCTAAATCGGTTTTACGTGAAATATCCAGTGGACGTGTCGTCACTAATGTTGACTTAGATCTGGACAGATTACCTGTTAGAAAAGCTCTGGGCTTGCATTGGGACATCGAGAAGGATTGCTTTATATTCGACCACCAGAAATTTACTGAATTTACCACGAAAAGAAAGGCCCTTAGTGTAACCAGTTCAATATTCGATCCATTAGGATTTGTAGCACCAATCATTTTGTATGCCAAATTATTACTGCGGGAATGTTGGCGTGACAACTTAGCTTGGGACGAAGTATTTGATAATAAGAGATTGAAGTGTTGGGAAAATTGGATAAATTCGCTGAAATGTTTAAAGAGTTTTTCGATTCCACGTCAATTTAAAGGTGTTAAATGTGAAAGTTCCTCGTATGAAATTCATATATTCTGTGATGCATCAGAAGTGGCATATGGCGCGGTAGCATACATAATATCGAAGCATTCCCGGGAGAATTTTCAGTGTAGTCTTATCGCGGCTAAAGCAAGAGTCGCACCTATGAAAGGTATGACCGTGCCTCGTTTAGAATTGCAAGGTGCTCTCTTGGCCGTGCGATTGTTAAATTTTCTCCGAAAAGAACTATCCCTTCCACTAGGCGACGTACATATGTGGTCCGACTCGACTTGTGTATTGAGATATTTAAAAAATAAAACTCGAAGATTTAAAACATTTGTAGCCAATCGCGTTCGCGAAATACTCGATCACACTCGGCCACACCAATGGAAGTACGTCGACTCCGCACAGAATCCCGCTGATTACTGCACTAGGGGAATGACGGTTTCCAAATTTCTAGAAAATTCTGATCGATGGCTACATGGACCAGAGTTTTTGCTCATGCCCGAAAGTGATTGGCCAAGCCAGATAGCGTTACGTGCAGTTGACGACCACGACCAAGAGATTAAATATCAAACATGCATACTAGCAGATTGTTTTATAACTACGGATAACAGCGATGGAGTACTTGATTCGGAAATCGAAAAGGTCGTCGATGTCGAACGTTTTGATTCGTGGTTTTCCTTATGCAAACGAACTGCCGTGGTTTTGTTGGCAGCTCGGTATTTTAAGAATCTTTCTGTGAAATGTCCGACGTATAGCCCGCTGCCAGCTCAACTTGTGACTCCTAAACAGTTGGAACTCGCGGGCCGGTATTGGATAGTTTCTGCTCAAAACAAGCATTTCCGCGTGGAGCGCAAATGCATAACTAACGAGAAGATTTATCATCAAAATCAACGTTACTTAATCTGACGCCATTTTTCGATGGACAAGTGATCCGCGTCGGGGGCCGTCTTGAAAATGCCAATATCCCACTGCGTTCGAAACATCCTATTATACTGCCGTATTCAAGTTTGAAATGTGATTCGAACTGCCCATGTCGAATTTCATGGTTGATAATGAAAGCTGCTCATATTCGACTCGCACATGCCGGTCCAGAGGCCACGCTTAGCGCATTAAGACAGCGCTACTGGCATATAAAAGGGAGAAAACTTGTCAAACGAATAATTGATAATTGTTGGGAATGTAAAAGACGCGAGCAAGTTGCAGAACCCCACTGATGTCGAATCTGCCCAAAGTTCGTGTTACTGAAGCAAGACCGTTCGAAAATGTCGGGCTGGATTTCTTCGGCCCGATCCAAACAAAGAGAGGCAGGGTTTTAGAGAAACGATGGGGGTGTTTGTTTTGTTGTCTTTCAATGAGAGCTGTACACATTGAGATGGCATGGACTATGGATACTGATTCCTTCATATGTGTACTTTTGTCTTTCATTGCGATACGAGGACCTGTATCCCAAATATGGTCGGACAACGGATCAAATATAGTTGGTGGTTCCCGAGAGCTGAAAACCGTCCTTAACTCGATAGATGAATCTCGCGTGGCAGAACTGTGCTTAAAACACAATATTGAATGGCATTTCACTCCACCTTACGCTCCCCATTTTGGTGGCGTTTGGGAAAGATTAGTAAAGTCCGCAAAGCGTGCTTTGAAAGCAGTTCTGGGGAATGTGCGTGTAACCGACGAAGTCTTGAAGACCGCGTTTGCGAGGGTTACCGACATCATGAATAGTAGACCCATTACAACAGTGAGCGACGAACCAACCGACTTTAGTGCCATTACACCAAATTGTTTGTTGAAAGGGCATTCGGCCGAAGTGTTTCCACTGGATTCAGACGTGATGAAATTATGCTACAGAAAACGATGGAGGCAAACCGAAGCTATTTGTAATCAGTTTTGGAGAAGATGGCGAAAAGATTACCTACCGAATTTGATGACACGATGTAAGTGGCGGAAGGAACAACGAAACTTACAAGAAGGAAATCTGGTGCTCGTTTCTGACCCCGTTGCACCGAGAGGACGTTGGCAACTTGGTCGTGTTATTCAAATTTACCCTGGTTCTGACGGACGAGTCCGAACTGTCGCGGTTAAAACTATAAATGGCATACATATTCGACCCGCATCGAAAATCTGCCTCCTAGAAGAATGACTTCCTGCGGATAGTCATGGGGTGGCTTTGTCGGCAGTCCGTGTGGTCCTAAAGTTTAGTTTAGTTAGGATTCCTTCAGTTGTACATCGTCATCGTGATGATTATCGCTATCTCGTCGTCGTCATCATTACTGTGTTGTTTTCTCGTATTCGACGTGTCGCATTTTTCTCTTTCACGTGTTATCGTGTTACGTATTTATTTTATTATCGTCCCCTAAGCTCAGCAAGATGTTTAAGATTGCATTTCTGGTGGTAGCAGTTTAGGATTTCATTTCTTGTTATGGCAGTTTAAGATTACATCGCCTTTATAACGTTAAGTTTGAATTCATTCAATAGTCTTCTTTTATACTGTATTTCGAATCGTTCGATATAACATTATGATATTTGCATGTCTACAGCTCGTATGGTATTGCATTTATAGTTACTGTTTTACCTTGGTTGTATATCTGTCGTTTTGGGACTATGCTGTTATATGGAGTTGTTTTGTGTAAGTATTAGTTTTATATTCTGTATCATTTGTCTTTGATTTATTTGGTGCTAATTATTTCATTTGTATTTTAGTCAACCGTTTTGAATACTTTCAATAAAACGAGTCTGGCAAATCGACTTATCATTTCCGGGTCCCAAAAGTGACAATAAATGTTATTCGTGGCATAAATGTAGGCGGTCGCGTTGGTAGCTGGCGTTTAACTCGGGATACTTGATTCTGTGAAAGAATATTAACTTTAAACCAACAAAAGCAAAAAACTAGTTAAAAAAATAAAACGTTGGTAAAAGATTGCATTGTATTAGTTTTAGGCTTCTAGGTCATATTTTGTGTTTTTGTCTGTTTTCGAAAGCTGTTTTTATTGTTTTATGGGCTCGATTTTTCAAGTTTAATAAAAAAGCTTTGTCTTTGTCAATTTAATAAGATAGCCTAATGCAAATATCTGCAGAAGACGTTGATCAACTGTGACTCTGGTATTATGTAAAACAATTAAATAAGGATAATTGGCTATAAACTCCTACCTGGAACGACTCAGTTGAATCTTCATCTCTTTTAGACGAATCGTCATATTCTTCATTGACATTCAAGAATGTAATCTTAAGATCAAAAAGATTCAATGCCTCTTATTTCGGAATGCAAGAAACAGCACGCATCGTATAAGGGGAGCAAAAATGTTTTTACAAATTAAAGATCAGTTATTAATACGTGCTTGTACTATATAGAAATAAATAAAAGTAATAGTAAATAAAACTCACCACTTTCCTTGTACATTGGTCACCGGTCCAGCAACATTCGGGGGTAACAGAGCATTCGACTAAATCAGTGATTTCTCTCCCATCGCAAACATCTACGCAGGTACAAAAATCTGAAAGAATATTTGACCACTGTATGTTTTACATTTTCACTATGTACCAGAAATGTTTAAATAAATAAAAATGTTTGATTTACCTTTGAGCGGGCAGATTCCAGATATAGCGATCATTATTTTACCCAATTCGCATTGAGATGGATTGAGTCTCCGACTTTCTGTTGCAACAAAAAGCACACATACCACCGCTAGAAGTAGGATCTTCATATTGTTATCAACAGTTTTGATCGAATCCGTTGTAACGATAAAAACTTGTTCACATGCCAGACTAATAAAAGAATGGAAACATAGAAATAAAAGATTATTTGTTCTTGTATGAGCCATTGTTGAACTACTTTTAAATTGACAAAGAATTAATAGTTTGTCTAGCGTGAAATATTTTAATAATTTCGAGAGACTTTCATATCAACAATTATAAATTCGTGGTACAGTGATAATAAATTTCTTCTGCTTCACTGTAACATCATAGCTATCACTAATTAAAAATGTGTATCACCAAAACAGTACTGATATTTATATAATTTCCAACGCTTGCAAATTGGTGCAATTTGGTATTTATATTATTCAATAGGTTTCTATTAGTTTTGGTATTTGCAATTTCAATTTGAGCTACAATTTATTTGAGTTATAAATGCGGTCGAAACCTAATTATTCATTTGCCGATGGTTGTTGAGCAATACTGAACAAATTTTCGATATGCAGGAGATGCAGTTTGGATATATTTATTTTGATGTCAATCCAGTATTACATCATGGCATTATTTTTTGCTGTGAACGCAAACGCACTATTCTTGATTTGTATAAATAGAAACTGCTCCATGTCAATCGTTTTCAGCCTGGATTGGTTTCGATTTATAATGTTAAGTTAATCTTGAACATTTTTGTTGGAAGTAATTTGGGAAATTAAGGATTCGATTCCTGTGAATTGAAAACAACCATAATTTCACAGAATACGCATTTGCACGACACTTAGCCAAAAACAAATTTCAAAATACGCATTTGCACGACACGAAGCCGAAAACAAATTTGAATTACGCAATGCATAATAAACTATTTCAGTAAGGCTTGTCATGAGCATTAGCATTGACTCATCAATTTTTTACTTTACTTGTATTACCCAAATCTAGCTTTTTCTTGCATTTTTTAATTTTCAACTATAAAATTGTATCGGCACTTTATTATGCTAAATATCTATTTGTTTTAAAATAATTTGAATGCGTGTAATCAGAAATTTGGGCTAATGATTGATATGAAAAGAAAAACGTGTCGTTAAAAATGGTTCTTCATCAAAACTGTGAACAAATTCAAGTTTTTATCATCCAACATCAACGTGGTATCGAAAATAGGTTCAATCATCGATTCTTTCTCAACAGCGTTTAAATTGTACCAATCCTTTGAAAGGGGATTAACAATCCAAAGGTTACCCAGACGAGTTTCCAGTTTAAAATTCAATAAGGCAGGTACTACCAGTGTTTCTAAATCTTGGTTCGATCGAACCCCTGGGGTTTGGTGAAGCTATTCCAGGGGTTAACTATGTGCAGTTCCACACGATACAAGTTTTTTTGGAACTGTCAATTACAGTTATATCTTATATCCCGGTTAATCAAAAACTTAACTTTAACGTCGCACGCGTTTTAAGATGCCTCTTGATTATGGAAATATCTTAGAATAATATGAGAAACCCTTTGATTTTAAGCTGAATATTTGCGTAACGTTCATAATCATAATCTACTAGTAAAATGTAGCTCTTTTAAGCACAAGTTGAAAATGGGAGGTAAGATCACGCGAATGAATATGGAAATTGAGGAATGTGGACGTCCTGGTGCTGCGTCATACCGTATCTATATTTCTTTAAAACAATCCTCTTATCTCCACCAGATTGTTTCTTGAAGTCTGGGGTGCGAATGACTTGGGCCACAACGCTTTCAATACATCATTTTAGCTTTCGGGTTTTCAAAGTTGTTATTTTTGCCCTGTAACTTTCTCCCTTTCCAGTCACACACTTATTGGTCTGCCAACAAGTCTCCTACCGCGGACGCTAACGTGGCACAAAAGTTTTTCCAACACGGTGTATGGTTATCTAGGTTTACACCACAATGTTCGTGGTAGTTCCGAGTTTGTCCGAAAAGTTTTTGCAATTGCGAGATTTCTTTTGTGAAATAGCTCAACCAGGAACGAGACCTGTTCGATTAACTACGAGTAGTTGTTTTTTTTATCGCAATTAATGTTGCTATGCATATAACCAGTGGCCCACTCAAGTGGTTTGGGGTTGATAATCTTTTGGGAATGTTTTCAAATTTAGCCATTAAAACTTAACCTTTCCGTAATAATAACGCAACAAATTCCTACTCTGTTGATCAAAGACGGTTGTATTTTCTATAACCTTGCAGTAAATTAGCCTTCCTTCATATATTTCTGGTTGCGCCCCTGATTTCAACTTTCAAAACATTGGGGTTCGACGAAAGCTTCCAGAGTAACGTAGGGGTTCGGAAGGCATTCAGAGGTTAAGAACCACAACTATCTGCTCTCGAACTGCTGCGTTACAATGTACCGTTATGACGTCATAGACGAAACACCAAACCGTTCAAGGCTCAACATAGGCCTAACTAGGACCTCTGTTCAAGTTTGGTTTACGCATCTATAGGAGGTAAAACAAAAGAAATGGGCAGGCCGTCAATTCCTTGTTGCAATGATATATATTTCGCGGACCGACAGGTAGGTGGACGCTGGTCGGCGGTTGGGAACCAGTGGTGTAGTTTGTTTGCAAAGATGAAAATGATAAGCTCAATGCCATTGGCCAGCGGTGAAAATGGAATTTGAGAATGTGTTTTGCAAAGGTAATAGAAAATAATACAACAGAGTTATCGCAAATATTGTCTTGTGACGCTTTCCAATAAATAGTTGTTGATGACTTAAACACACCTTTTCGCTTAATACGATACAAAATACGAGCACGCTGTTTCACATGAAGTCGAATCTAAAAATAATACCCATGCAAAGAACTGCTAATTTGACAGGTTTGAAATCATTTTTCAAGCAAATCAAATTTGAAAGTATTTTACTTCACCTAAATAGCAGAAAATCTTCAAGACCGTAGCAAACGAACCTTGTGTATACACGGTACAATAATGTATCCAATTCATACCATCTAGACGTGCGGCGAAGAAACAATATTGAGGCTCTTAAAGCAAAGGCTTAGCAGATGGTGAAATAACTCGTTGAACTGCATTTGGTATGGAACATTAATATGATGCTTGTAATACTAATTCCTTAATTATATTCTCAAATAGGTTTCAATTTCAATTTTGAAAATAGAAATAAGAAATAAATTTGTCTGCAACTTTGCAAATAAATATTTTATCTTAAAATATTCCATCTATAAATGCTTTTGAAATCCTAATAAACAAAACATGTTCATCTGTTCGCCATTACTCGTTAGGTAATACAATTCTTGATATGTTGTTATTAGATTTTGCTGTTCCTGCAACTGATTGCGTTTGAGTTAGTTTGTTGTATGTGTACACTGCTCTACTTTAAAAATAAATGTTTTTTTGTAACGGATAACCAACGTTCACTCTTCAAGTAATTTTTTTTTTTTGGTAAAATTCAATCAAATTTTTTGCTATGAATAACTGTACATTTCTACTCGTCCTGAAGTCAAACATTGTGGCGTTTGGAATTTTTCAAATTGCATTTTTTGATAAATACTGGAAACAAATTTCTGCATTTTACATTATTTTAAGTTGATATAGTCACCTATTTTTAATTATAACATTCGGGGTCAAATTAAGATCGTGAAAACAAGCACAGACACGATGCGATATTAACATGATGGAAATTTGAAGCTTGAAACAATTATTTGGACTAAAACAATGATTTTGATGTAAAAACTTCTTATTTTTGCGACATCTGAAGTATCATTTAATAAATAGTTAGACAGCCGATTGCAAGTTGATCGTGTGATAATATTAGCTTATTGGACTGTATTTAAAAAAGTATTTGATGAATAACACTGTATTTATAGTATATAAAGTATTTAACGATACCAAATAGACTTTTATCCATGAGGATTGAACGATCAAAAGCTATAGTCAAGAAGTCTTCGCCAACAAGGTCTGTGGACTGTGGAGTCGGAGAACTCTAACAATTGGCTCCGCGTCCGGGTTGTAAAAATATTTGACTCCGACTCTCTCTCTCTCTCGCTCTTTGTCCCTCTCCCTCCCAGTTCTTAACTTATAACTCACATGCTGATAATTATTTACTGGCAAAGCTATGGAATAGACTGTCGTTTCCGGCTTGAGGTTCTGGTCCTATTAAAGGTATGCTCTTCAAAATACCACGCCCAATTTTTTAAACACCAAATTATTTATGCAGGAGTAAGAGTTTATTGATGCCAATCTATATGAAAGAAATGAATCTGAATAATGTGAAGCTACATGGAAGTTAGCAATTTAATGAGAATATATTTATGTGTCTAATGAATGTTTATGGGTATAGGTAGATAAATTTCATTAAATGGATGAAATGCTGATCTGTTCGTCCATTCATCGTCATCTTCGTCTTCGTATAATTTAAAATGGGAAGCTGTATCTTGCACCAATGCGGGATCCACCATATCTGCTGTATCCCTGTTATATGTAACTTCAATATTATTAAGTAAATGCAGCTAAGTCTACAGCCCCAAACTTCACATTAATGATTTTATTTTCATTGGAGCTGCACTGATTGTTTAGACTATGTTTGCTGCGCTAAAAGATTTGTACAGTAAGATTTGTGTCCAGCTAATTGAAACCAAAAACTGATTTTATATATAACTAACTACACGTTTTGGTAAATGAAGATATTTGAGGAAATTCGAAACAATATAAAAAATGACAATCCACAATAGTCAACGACAAAACTGTAACAATTGACTCGACCACACAGAACCTAAAACATTGCAGTCATTTGAATAACATATCTGTTACATACATGGCTGTATTCAGACATCAGACATGTTCCTTGTCTCCGTTACAAACACACCTGATAAAAATATATGCTTTTTACGGCAAATACAATTAAAAAAAAAATTAAATACTTACTCCGCTTAATCCAAAGCGTCCACGACCAAGTTTCTGAAATATTAAATGTAAAAATGTCAATGTCAATAAATTAAGCAGTCAAACGCATGCAAATAGCGCGACACGCAATCATTGATAAAGTTGATACTTCCGTTTGTAACTTAACAGTATTGTCATGAACAAAATTAAGGCAGTACTTTCACCAGATTGGCTGCTCAAATTTCCCACATCTAGGAAACTTGACGTCAATGAAATGATACAGGAGTTAACATGATGTAACAAAACCAAAAATATATCCACTGGTGTGGTATCGAAATATCACCATATTAAAAACTCAAATCTAAACTTACTCTTTCATAGGAACCACGAACTCCATAATCACCGTAAGTTGTTGCATGCTGAAGAAATAAAGTCATGGTTAAATAATTATACAAGCTTATGTTAATATACGACTATGATGTCGTATCAGGGAGAAGCAAAAACGTCTCCATAATACAATCGGGCCGTTCTAGCATTTGAACGATTTTCCTATATATAAAACGTGATGTATATAGTTTATTGAATTGGGTAATACAAAAATTATACGGTATACCGACTACCAATACAGTCCGATATAGGATTTTCGAAACCTGTCTGAATCAGTTTCTCAAGTAAAATGCTGACAGATTTTGTGACTGACTGTTAACAGTGTTTTTCTTGTAGAACACAATATATGAATCTGACAATGTAATAAACGATTCTTTGAATTAAGCCGAAAATCTTGTTTGCAAATTCATACGGACTCAGCATCAAATTCTATCATTGCAACATACTAGAAGATAAACGACTCACTCCACCAATCGTATATTTCGAATCTGCGTTGTTCTGAAAATAGAAGGAATATTTGTATTCAATCTTAAAATCAATTTTTCATATACAATTACGGGATTACTGAAAGTTTCTGTAATACCCTGATAGATATGTAAATAGTCAGCAGTTCCAAACTAATGTCCCTTTAAAATATTCAAAAGTGCTAGTATTCATATTTTGGCACTGTATTTTACCCAGGTAAATTATCCCGCTCAAAATGTAGGATTGTGTTTCGTGACTAAAAAAATATAAAAAGTAACATATATTATTTACCCTTCTATATTCAGCATCCACTCTGCCGTGTTTTCCTTCGGCGTTCTGTTAGACAAGCAAGTTAATCAGTTAGTCTGATTGTGAAAAGATCATAAAACAACAACAATTATTCACTTCCGTACTTACAGCTTCAATGCTAATTTCATTTCTTTTAGAGGACTGGCGTCTTACACGGGAAAGCGTCTTCTGTAATTTGTAAAAAGAAGCAGTTCAATGTAAATCTTATTTTGCGATATTACGTGCTTGTCAAACACGAATTTCCAATCTACGCAACATACTAAATTAAGTTACTTTCAAAATTGACAGTATCTCATTTATTCAAGAATTAAGAACTAAAATATAATTCAACAGACGAAAAAACGTACCTCGGAGGTGTCGACTTTCTTGTCATGATTTTCTTCCCCCACAGTGTGGTCTTTATCCACGATATAGGATGGGATCTATAAAGCATTTGCATGTGTTATATTTCACCATAATTAAACTTTAATTTGCCTTATTAAACTATTTTTTTCAACATATATGTACCATAACAAGGCTGTGATAATATGGTAACTTGTGTAACGGCGACTGTTTAAAACAAAGCCATTTCACGAATATCAGATAAGCATTATTTATTCAGAAGATGTAAGGTCGAGTATGGAAATTCTAATTATGGATTAACAATAATTTAAATTAGAATAATCATTTTTTAATCATGATAAACTAAAACAGTTGGTTGGCGTGAAATCATTGCAATGACTACTAATATATATACCAAGTGAGTTTTCAATTTTGAATATGGATTTTGAAGGGGTAAATTATAAAAGCTCGTCCAAAATATATCTTACAATTTTCATCGCGCAATGGTGACCGTTCCAACAACATTCTGGCGTGAGAGAGCATTCTTCTATATCTTTAACTTCTGTTCCGTCACAAATATCTCTGCAGATTTCCGCATCTGAATGATAGATTTTTTTTTACAATGTTTGCGTCAATAAATATCAATGTTTCTTCTAAAATGAAATGAATTAAATTACCTTCCATAGGGCAGATTCCCATCAAAGCTATTACGATTCTTCCCGATTCGCACTGAGATGGTTGAAGTCTGCGACTTTCTGCGCCAAAAAATAGCACAGCAAATGTTGCAACAATGAGAAACTTCATTTTGGGATTTATTCAAAGATTACTTTGTATATCGTTACGTATAACTACAATAATTGAAAACAAAATATTCAAAGCTTTTAGAAATCCATGATTTCAATCATTTACAGTCTAGAAATTTACAGCGCATAATTCTCATTCAGTCTCATAATATTCGTTTTTTGATTTATAATATTTGACAAATTTAATAATTCCTTAAGTTATCCTTAATCATAAATTTAAGAGATCAACCTTTATTGAAATAAATTTATCAAAATGTCCAACAATACCTTTCTGTGGTACAAATTTTGCATGCAATTGTTACGGCCTTATACATAAGTCGCATTTGGTGCAAAATTAAGTTCAAAACGGTTGTTCTAAATGTGAAAACTTCAAATCCAAAACCAAAAATTACTATTGAACAATTTCACGTAATTCTTAAAGCATCATTCCATAATCTAAACTTCTAAAGTATTAGAAAATAGTATTAAGCTCATTTTTTTAAAAGCTGTCTATGAATTGTGATGTATACCCCCCTTCGCTTATATAGAGGGCGCCGACAAAATTCTTAAACTGATTCGATTTCGATTTCAATAAAAAAAATTGAAAATGAGATTTCTGAAACGGATATAAGTAAGGTTTTGAAATTACAGAATTTCAAATCAAGGCTATTTTTGTGACATTCAATATCTTTATTGTGTATTTTGAGTCACCCTTTCAACAAGGAATGATGTCAGTCGAATGTATTCTTAAATTAAGTGTTTATATGCTTGTCAACAACATAAGATAAAATATTATAGTAATCAATTGCTGTCTTGATCTACAATGGCCTTACATCATATTCCATTTTGAATTGAATCGAAATTTTCAATACTTTCTATAATAATTATTTAAGCATCGAAGAGCAATATAAATGATTCATTTTTCAATCGTTTTGACTTCTTTTGCAGTTTCGATGTTTGAATTACTTCCAAATTGTTATTGATGTAGGGTTCCAGAGTTTAATTTATTCAACACATGTGTAAGTCACATTTCTTCGATCTGTTCGTCAGCAAGTGGAATCTTGGGCTCGTTGCATTATTTCAGACCCACTCAGTCACGTTAAACTCCTTCAACTTTCTTTTTCTCTTTTTGAAGTTTGAAATCAAAATTATCTGTTTTGCGCCTTGAGCTTGACCCATCAAATTACAAGTAATGAAAAAAAGAGGCATTATTTAAAAAAAACTTTGAAAACAAAATCTGGATGGGATACTTGAATTTATAACATTTTATCTTGTGCTGATCCTTGGTGGCTCACAACTGTTAATGGTAACATGAAAACATGGAAGGATAGCTTTCATTGACCAGTCTGACCCGTTGAATTCTTATTCCCTCTTAGTGAATGTTTGTCTCTCTGGCCATGTTTGTAGTGCTCCCGTGTCTTTGAAATGCCGCTCGTATTGGTTACCTTACTAGACAGTGCTTGGAGTCATATGTTTGTATGTGATGGGTTCCGTTTTTTCAATGATTTTTGTTATTGATACTATGTTTGACTTTTTTCTCTCTCCTGTATTATTTACTGTAGACTTTATCACGAGTGTCACTGCTCTTTAACGACTATTGTTTTTTTGCACCCACCTCCACCCGTTTCACGTTTTTTTCTTCATACTGTTCGTACAACGTTTATTTTCAGTGTGGTGAAAAAATTAAATGCTGATTACCGATATCTTTCAGAATAGTTAGTAGACCACGTGATGTTTATTGGTTATTTACCTTGAGGCATTGTACCATAAATTTTTAGTTGACTAGTCGGTGATCAAAACTTCGATTGCTTCCTCAAATACCAATACTGTCTGTCATCCATTATACGGAAAATATTTTACAGTGTCATTTGTCGCGATTTGATCACTATTATTTGCAAGTTAAATTTTTGCTTAAAAAATACGAACACAAAACAATTTAATGATTTTAATTCAACTTCATAGATATTTAATAAAAAAAAACGTGCAATTTGAATTGCTAGACATCGCATCGCTGTCGCTAGATATGCAAACAATATCAATCGTCATATTGATCTTCTTATAAGGAACAGATACAGTATGTACTAGATTTTATTCCTCTCTTTGCTTTATGAATGACATACAATCAAAAAGTTGGTTGAAATACTTTTTTACTAATGTAGCTAATTCACAGTATCTAAAGTATTATTTAATTAGAACTAGTCGGAAATATAGTAAAATGTAGGACAACCACGTTTGTGTGTTGGTACAGACTGCCCGTCGGTGTTATTCGTATGTTGAATATTTGTTGCAACTAGTTCTCTACCAACCATCGTTAACTCGTACATTTCCACCATGCAAATTTTAATTTGGTCAGGATTGCCATTAAAGACTTTCTCCAAGCATCGTAATAATCTCGAATAAATCAACGAAAACTGCCTGTCAAGTCTCTGTACGTAAGTACCAAAAACATATGGATTGAATTTACCTTCCGAAGAAATTGACCAAACGCCATCTTCATAAAATGTTATAGGATCTCCAGCGTAACAATACCTCCATTGGCTGTGGAAATTAGTACACCATCTTGACATATTAACACATTGGTAAGTTGGCAAAACTTTATCAAGAGGAATTTTTATAAGTTTGCGACCATTTACTATTTCTTGGAAACGATAAAAATGAGATAAAACTGTTGAGTCGTTTCCATATAATTCTTCATAAGGTGAGCAAGCGGAACCCCCTCCCCCTTCGTAAACTATCTCTATTAGAGAACGAAGGGCAGATGAAAGATTGGTAACTTCAAAAATTGTAGTAGGTGCTTTCTCCAGATCATTTACGGAACCACAGTTTTCATTGCTTTTCTCGCGCATTGACCTGTTTTCTTTTCTCGCAAATCTCCAGAGTGCTTCTCTACCATGAGCGCTGTCAGGAGGTGGAAAATTACCCATAGTGCGTGATATTTTTTCAGCCGTGCAATCTATTTCCGTATTTGTGGATGGGCGTTTGTACCAATGTTTTGATTTTAGCTGCCTAGCAGAATTCCCTATGAATATTGTTCGATCACGAATCCTATTTTTAGAATACGAGTTTCCGCCACTTTCTTGTTTTTGAAGTTTAACGCAAGCCTCCACGTTAGCAAGTTTGAGAGCTAATTTAGCGTAAAAGCCTCCAATAGTGTGCATTTCCTGTTTCGCAATATCCAACAGTTTGTCGCCAGTAAACTTTTTAATCAACCGCCAAATATGAGCAATCTTCTGTTGTTTGGTTTTCATTCTTTTCCACATCTGATTTTCAAAGATGCACGTTTTATTTGCTTTTAGTTTGTTCGTATGTTGGTGCAACTTTCTGACGGCCTGTAATAAACTTTTTTCTGTTGTTGACTCCATCCCTTCGTACTTTTCAACTGCCAATACTACTTTCCATAGAATGACAAAGAACGACATCAGCTAAGGATTGAAGAAAGTGATTTAAATATTATTCTCGGTAAGCTTCACGCGAATTGCTCAGTTACCTACTCACATTTGTTACGATTTTGAGTTCTAATATGTGTAGAACATAAGTGCGCGAAAATATTTATTTTATCACTATATGGCTTAAAAATCGTGGGCTTGATTTAACATGTCCGTACAGGATCGGATGCATGCACCATATTTCCAAATAGCGTGCGCGCCCACTTCTATTAACACAAACAGAGTGATTAAGTGATTTTACTTTGACTTTCTCGAAGAAATAGTGTCTCTTTCCGCGGTTTAATTAAAGAAGTATTTATTCATTACCTCTTTTCCATTGTCGTTGGCCGGTTGCTCAATTCTGGAAAACACATCATTAATTCTACCAATTGATACAGGACCGAGAGAAAGAACATGCCCCTTATCAAGGCCATAGAAACTTCCCATACCTATTGTAGAAGGATAAGCAGGGGGGTTTGTTGTGAAATCAGGTTTTCCGCCGATCTAAAAATGTTACGATTTAATACCACATATATTAAATTCGACTACAAATAAAATACAATCATAGTAATTGTTCTATTACCGTACGGTAATAAAAAAAAGTTGTTCTCAAATGCGACTCCCTGCATCACACTAACATTAATAATTACTAGAATCCTCCGACACAATAAAAACGTTCCGGCACTTTCTACTACTTAGCAGCATAGTATATGATTCATATTAATTTTACCGAATTCAAAATATTAGTAGCAAGCGTCATATGTCTCATTTCGTCATGTAGTATTTCCTTCAGAATGTCTGCAACTTCTCTGTTTCTACCTCGACTCCATTTTATACTCAACCATGCCGTTAGATACGGGGGTATAACCGAGATTTCTGCAAAAATTGCGTTTTGAATGTCCTGTTTCAGTTCTTCCACTTTCTTTTGTAGTGACGCCCCAGTACACAGATTCATTGTCCGTTCTGTTGGGTAAAAATTTGTCTATATGTATTTAGAGTTTCAAACAATGTCATGTTTGAAAGTTTATAAACAAACAAAATCTATATACATACCGGTAAATCCTGTTGTAAATTGAATGATATCATTGTCCAATAGTCACCAAAAAAAATGTTTAGACGTGTTAACAAGAAAGATCTCATACTCACGTTTTTATAATGTCCCTTAACATTAATTAAGGATGACTGGTGCACAATTCGAATTTTGAGGTAAATCTCAAATTCATCTTAACCTAATTTGTACCACGTTTTATTGTTAGAAATAAAAAGTTGACAATTCGATATTTCCGACATACATCATACTTGTACAATAATGAATGCCCTTTTTGTATTGCTATTTTGCTTCATGTAAAATGAAATATATATCATCGAAATTTGTGTAACGTTCTACATAAGATGAAAATGTATGTTACATCCATCTTCATTTTCACTTAAAGGTGACGGCAAAAAATAAAATTGTTGGAACATTCAACAATGAGTAAACATTATTAAAAAATTATGGCTTGCTTTTTAATTCCATTGGGTTTTTACCGGAAAAAATTTTTTTTTTCTCTCCTATGATTTATATTAAATGTACTATTTACCTTCTCTTATACTGAGTGATCCTTTCCTCATTCCACATTTCATCCAATTCCATACAAGACGTCTTTTGCTATATGACAAATCCCGTTGTCTTGGCATGTATCTGAAATTTATCAGTGATATTTGTAGACTGTCACAGAAATCTCGCTTCAAAAATAATATTTTTGGACCTGCTTAATTTGCCAGTACTACTAAAATCAATATGCCATATTTCTCTTTTAATATGAGAAAACGACTGTTGTACTATAATCATACTTATTACTTTAAAACAATGCCATTTATACCAATACCGTGAATTTTCCATATCAAATTCAAACATCGACATTTTGAGCATATGGGCTTTACTTTTAACGTCTTCGAACGAATTCATGTCGATTATGTTGTTTTTCCACATTACTGGATATAAGTTATAGTAAAGCTGGAAAATATCTGAAATTAAAAATATTTATAAAATATATTCTATAATGAATAAACCAAATCCTCTCTTTCTTTTCCGAACAAGAAAATACAACATATATTATCTAGCTATATTTTAAAATGTACCTTTGACATCTTCCCATCTTGGGCAGTCTATGTTTTCAACTTCACCAAACACAAGAGTAGCTATAGGAAAACTTGTAAAGTCAATGTTTGGAAATAAATTCCCTGGCCTGGCGCCTTCTTCAAACACATAAGACTTAGACTTAGACTTGTACCTGGAAGTAAGAGTAATATATTCTGTTTCGTTAACGATTTTAACACAAACAAGTGCATTACCTTCCACATCTTGGATTTACCACCAAATTGCCTTAATTTATTAGAATGCAATCCCCGTGGTGGCACAATTTTCAAAATAAGTAAAATTTGGGGCACAACAACAGTACTCGGGGATCTTAGATAAAGTAAAAGTGGAATCATTTTAGTTCTAAACATTTAAAAAATTGTTTGATCCAGTTGATGATAACAAATCTTCTGTTAAACAGAAACAAAATAAATATTAACAACGTGTTTGTTAAATGATAACTTACTTTACTTATTGTCTGTTTAGATCATATTTTATAATGTGCAAATAATTATCACATTTACCGGGTGGCATAAAAAAAAGGTTGCTACAGAAATGACAATATTGCCATAAGGTCGAAGCCATTACTAACACATTAAATTTAAAAGTTGGGACAACTTTTGATCGCCACTAACGGCAAAGATCTATCTAACGAATCTTTGAGGTCACGATTACATACTATATAGTCCGTAATTGATGATTGAACATAGAATGGACATATATGAATCGGTCGGCTGAGAAGTTGTTTTTGATGTTTTGGTGAATAAATAATAATTCCTTTTTCATTATTTATTTAAACACTATTTGTTTTGCCAATGAACTAAGGTTTTTAATCAAAAAGATCAATTGCACTATTCATATTTCTCACCTGATAAGAATTTGAATCGGGTACACCTGGCCATCGAGTCCACAACGTCGAGGAAAGCGTGGATTTTGAACAGCTTTCAAAACGAAGCTAACTATTCCCGCGCTGTTTGTCAGCGGTGCTTCATGAAATGATTGTATTGATAAAACTTCCTTAGGCCACCCAATAGTTCTGAATACGAAGTTAACATTATATTCGTAATATAGTGAACATTTTCTATGATAATTACATTTTAATATATATATTCAATCGAACAACAAACACTCCAAATAAGTCTGCAGTTTTAAATTGTGTTTTTTATTTCGTTTTCAGCTTAAAATTGTTCAAATACGACCATGGTATTAATAAAAAGTATTCTTAAACTTTGATTAGTAAGTATGATTATTTCATGCGAACCTGAGGATAAAGAGAGATGAAGCAAATTCTGAATGGTACTTTATTTTGGACATATTGAGGATACGAACCTGTTGCAATAGAATGGGCAGTTATCGCCGTCTTTATTGAAGTATGTAAAAGTATTCATTTCTACATGTATTGACGGGGATGGAGCACCAAACTTACTGACAAATAATTTTAAAGTTTCACTTTGGCCGACATTGAGTCTGAAGACAGCTCTTTCTACTGGTCCGACATGCAAACCAAACTCAGATTCCCGCAAAACAATCCGGAAAGATCTGTGTGTTATGAAACAAAAATAATAATTCAATTATAAGAACATATGGTTATTATGATTAAAATATATTTGTGTATATATTTATGAAGTACATTCTATTTTTTGACATATTTTTATTATTATAGTATTAAATGTTAGTTTATCAAATGATTATATATTTTATTACCCAAATAAAATTTGAAAAGACGACTGATTACACGTCACATACACAACTTAATTGCCCGATGCAAAATAACAAATATGTAAGTACCTCTTCTTCGTATTGCTCCTCTCAACTAACATTAATTGATTATATTTTAGAATTTCCATCATCTTCGCATCCACATTCATCAAACTAATGTCCATTATTCCAGCAAATGTTTCATACCAATCCTGACCTGAGTTTATTCGTTTTGAAATTTCCCCATTCTTTGTTAAATATATGATTATTTCACTGTCAGAGTTATATGGCGACCAACAACTCTTTATATGCCAGTAATATCTGTTGCAAAAAATGTTAAAAATTATTCTGTTTTATTTTGTAATTTTTGTTCGATTCATTTTGTATTCAATCACATCGGTATCGACAAGGCCTTATCTGAGAACGTGAAATGTCGAGTCTAAAATCACTCAAAATAATAACAAAAAACATGGAGAAAAGTTAAAGTCTTTCTTCAACCTGTTCCATCTTTAAATTCTGAAAATTTGAAATGGATTGGTCCATTTATACTGAGAAAAGTTTAATCTAAAAACGCGTTACAGCGAAGAGTAAGTAGACTACATTTTTCGGTTGCATCAATTGATTTGACCGATTTATTATCATAGAATTTAATCAAATATTATAAACTTACTTGCAATATTCTTTCAGTTTTACCCTTACAGCTAAGTCGAGGTTTTTAACAGGTCCAAATTTTCCATTTTCCTCACATTCTATAGAATTCGATATATCCAAGACCAAGTATTTCTTATCGTAATGTACGACAAACGGTGCAAACCCAACTTTTTTCCAACCATCTGCCCTCATAACTCTTGTAGCTACTGTTTGAAGTGGGTCGTCTAAAGATGTCATTCCTTAATTTTGTATTAAAGAATGTAAACACTTTAAGAGATAACGTGCATAGGTTTAGTAATATAAATTATGGTTAATAGCTGGCCCATTTACACGCAGAGGCATACCTTACCTATTTCCACTATTTCCCAATCTCAAGTACCCGAGTCACTTTAGATGAGTTAAAAATATAGATATAATGGTACAAAAATTGGACATTAGCAATTACCACTGAGCGGAAACAAAAGTGTATGGGTACTCAGAAGAGATGGTATAGAATCAGGCCAATGCAAATTGAAAACTTGGATGGAAGTCCTGCTCCTCTCGACCTACTGCTATATATTCATACAGCATTAATAATGAAAGCTTAATTTGCTGACCAATGGTTTCTTCTGTATAGAATGCAAAACAGTTATACCAATCGTTCCTGAAATCCGTCCTGATTTATCTTTGAATTGATACAGATCAAAAACAAATGACATCGACAATTCGGAAGCGTTGTAAAACATGTTTTTGTAGTAGTTATTCAGCCATTTGATGTTGGTCAGTTTACTGTATAAAGGTAATCATAATTATCATAGTGAGGTTAGGTGTGACAAAAACGATGAATATTTTTGTAAAGTAAATTATATCTGTATCTGTAAGTAATTGCGTGATTAATTATTACAAAACTGAATCAAAAAGTTCAAATTATGCAATGAACAAAAACTAACGTTTTGAAATTAACGCTACTAGCTGCGTCTCCATCAACTTTTTTTGTTCTACTTTTCATTTTCCCCATCGATATTCTGGTATATTTTGCTTCAAGAATGCCTGATATCACAATATGTAAACCCCATATTTCACATATACGCTGCCAATCTGTATCGACATCGACAAGAGATGCTCTTGATTTTTCTGAAAGAAGATGACTAATATGACACGAACAACGCATAATGGGTTAACAGGCTACAACACTCAATCAATTTTTGATAAAATAGCGTTCATTTTAAACGATCGCATTTTTGCTTTCGCTTATTTTTCCTCATCAAAACGCAGATTAAATATGAGTTATTATGATCACGTTTCAACTATTACATTAACATAAAATTCAGCGTAAATGCTATATATATACATACTCACAAACAAAATCAGAAGAATTACGCAAACCAAGGACAATAGGTTCTCCATCTGTTTTCTACGATTTTTATATGTTCGTACCATTGCACAGTCAAGCATTACTTATATTGCCCAATGGTAGTAATTAAACGATATGCATTCCTTACCTCGCAGAGACGATGAAACTATTTGAGCTGATGTGGAGCAAGTCCCTGGTGCTGTGCATAATGAAGTGACCGTCGTATCTGTAAAGTAAATATTTCCACTTCCGTCTGGGTTCCAGTTATGGTCCTGGAATATTGCATAAACTGTAAAGCAGTAAAAATGCAGAAATCGAATATTTGTTCAATAGCTTTTGATGCTAAAATGAAATTGTGCTTTCGCAGATAGATATAAATCTGAAAAATGTTATAGCGACAAATAAACCTAACTATATAGACAAACAATAATATTGTGATTGATAAACGATTGATTTGAATAATCTTCCCTCCCGATATTACACTGAAAGGAATATTTTTTTCAGTTCTGCAATTTCAACGGGTTGCGAGCTTCTCATGAATGTGATGTCTTTGAATATACTTTTATTTACAAGGTTTTTTGCATATGAGCCAGTAACTTTTTGCTTGAAAAGGTTTTTACTTCCTTAGTCTGTAATGGATTAGGATGCTGAGCTGCTACTCATTAATACAAGAGAGTTATGCTCAAACATATGGACAAGTATGTCAAATAAGGTAGTACGAGTATCCAATCTTTACAGTTCCGGTACAGTACCGCAGTCTTTCCGACATCGACTGACCACCAAATCTCAGCAAACGCGGAACCGCCACAAGGTGCGTACATTTTCATTTTAATGACGTCATCACATGAAAACAACAAATCTCGTAGAGCCCGCAGAAATTTTCGAAATAAATAAAAATATTGACCCCCTGGAGACAACAACAATCTTTAACCACTGAAAAGCAAAGCAAATGGTCCGTAGTTAAAGAGAAAACGTTCTTTTAACAACAACAACAACAAGAAAAGAAGCATACGAACAACAACAACATATTAACAAACGCTTCATAGGTCCACTTTGGACTAGTCCACTTTCGAATAACTATTAAAATAATGTAAGGACTCACGGATCTTGACCCAAATGCAGTTACAAAATGTTTGGTATCGTAATTGCATCGTATATTGTTCCTTGTACTGACGTCTGCAATCAACTTCCCGTAAAAATGCATTCGCGGCCAAGTCAAATAGCCTGAATTTGGTAAATCAAATATATATATATATTAGAAATTGATAAACTAATTCAATAATAAATAAGAATTTAAGTATGAAAAATAGCTTTTTAAAATTTTGTGTATGAACTAAAGAATTTTTCTACATCTCGAATAACGTGTGTATACTTAAAACAAAAGAAATTCTTATTAAACTTCTACTCTAAACCAATGAATTTGCACACATTGCATTATTTCCTATGTTTTTTTTTTGCGAAATGTTTTTTTACACCATCTTAAAACAAAGCGGAAAACATACTGAAAATATTTGTCTATATATGATTTCTTTCTTAGAATGAATAATATACATAATTCCATATACTTACTAGGACAAAAGCGTAGCATGCAGAATCGTTGTTCATTTTCCGCACCAGTGGAAGCAGTATCAGGATTGCACTTTGTCCTCTTTCGAGATTCATGTCCATAACTACACGTTGAACTACATGCGGTCCATGAACTCCATTGAGAAAATTCTTCATTTAAAAATAGTTCATAATTTCTTGTATGACGTGTTAGCAATTCGTGGGAGCATTGTATAGTATAATTCGAAGAATACAATTTAGGTGAAGTATATGGAGAATCAATCACATACAAACAAAGAAGTACAAGAAAAAACTTTGACAACACTCTTCTTATCGCCAATGGGCATTGCAAATAAGATGTATATACTTGAAATTTTCACATATATTCACGACATGAGACTTCAAATTACTTATAGATGTTGACTTCAACGGAAAGAATCAATAGAAGTTTAAAGTCTGTATTCTACAACTATATTGTCTTACGTTTTAAAATCATGCCTTAAAAATATTACTCATACTGACGAGCCTAGTTTATGTGTGGACCTCAATATCATTCATACTATGACACTTTTTGAGCGCGAAATAGGATATTAATGATTATTTTGTCATTTTCTTGTCTTAACTGATATTCAAGATTCTTACCTTGCCTACATGCAGCCTTCGTGTTGATCACGCATTCGATTATACATAATAACAAAAAAAAAATACAATATTTGAACATTTATGCTTGTTGCAGAGCAGTAATTATATGTCATCGATGTAGTATTGCAAGAACTAATGAGGTGAGCATGTAAAATTGCCAACACATATGGACGAAGCCATTCATGTAACCTGTGCAGATCACAAGATGTTTCCGCCCTCTTCCAGTGATTACAATGTGAACAAAGTGTCGGAATTCGATATTCTTGACTGAAGTACAGAGCCGCCACTATATTATTGCCTTTTTATGGTAAAATAACTACAAAATGTTAGGCATTATTCTGAATGTTGTAAACGACTAAAAACAATTGTTAATGATTGAATGTCATATGGCCATGGTTCGTGTAGGCATTTAGTGCTTATATTAACGATGTTTTTTGGAAATCAAGCAAGCTGCCGTCATAGTAAACTATACCATATGCTTGTATCGCGAAGAACTGCAGTGAACGAACACTATTCCTTATGTTCTTTTATTGGAAACGAAGTGGGCCTATAGCACGTTTTGTTATTACGTTGTGAAATTTTTTTTATCTTTGTGCTATTATCTTCAACTACTGGACCAATAAAATTTCCAGTGGTTGAAGTTTGTTGACTCTAGAAGGCAATTAAATAAGGTTTTCATTTTTTTTAAAAATAGATGTGGGCTCTATGAGATTCGTTTTCACTTCAAAGTTTTGTGTGATGACGTCATTAAAAATTGGGTGCCGTGGTTCCGTGATCACATCTCGGTGATCTGGTGATCAGACTACCGGTACTGTAAAAGATTTGATACCATTTTGTTTTGGCTTTCGTGTTCATATATTTGAGCATTGCTATCTCGTTTCAATGGCCGTAGGTAGTCCTCAAACTGTGTTGGTAAATCTAGGATAAAATAGGTTTTCCTACCGTGCAATAGCTAATACCTGGTACCTCCAACTAACTCGCTCTAATATAGCAACATGTGAGGATATGCGTGATTTTTTTGAAAAATATAGCAGTTAATTTAATATGTCATCGCCTCAGATATAGTCCTTTTTGTCTTCTTTTAGAATATACGATCGTTAAAAATAACCTCAACTAACGGGTGGCAAGTAAAATTCCAAAATTACCCTGCTGTAAAATAAGTATATCTAATTACCAAAAATGTCAGCAGATTATAGCTAGTTGTCTGGAGTTGCTACCTACTACGTATGTTCCCCGAATTTCCGGACGAAATTTTTGCTGCCATATTTAAATGGCGTAATAATGATGAACTTATAAAAGTTCAATTCATATCAATAATTGTCCGACTTCCAGCTTAAAACCGCAGTGATGTCTTTGCCTATTGCGTCAATTTGAGAAGTTGCTGGAACGGAACGTTTCGATTTAATGAAAAGATAAACAATTACAATGTGTTTTTATATTAACAAAATCGATTAAATATAATCATAAAGATAAATTGATAAAAATGCGTCATAAATAAAAGACATGTTGCCGACCAGCGGCTATACTTATAAATCTCGCAGAAATGTGAAAAAATAAATGCTTTATCATTGTCTCAAATGAATTACAAAACACGTTGATCCGCATAATAAACTCACTAGGCATAATTGGCTATCGTAAGTCACGTATTGAATTCGTATTTATGTAACCAACTGAAATGATTACATAGATATTTCAAGAGAAACCCAAGTAATTGATGGAGTACGTTTGAGTTTTCTTGCTCAAGTACGCTTGGAATTTCTACTTCACATCGGTTTATGTCAAATAGTTTCAACATTCAAAAAGTCCTGGTTCAAATTCCTTACATCATTCGGTTGATAATGAAAAAACAATTCACATTTTCAATCAAGCTTTCTGTCAAGAGGAAATAATTTTGAAGTGTTGTGTTAGGTTGATGATTTACGCTTTAACTCTCGTTGACTTTGGGTTCCAGATTTGGAATATCGTAAGCGATCTCGACGTTTTTGTCAAAATATGTCAGTGATTATTATCACTTCCAAGTCTTGTTATCTGCACAATCCCACCGCTCTGAGTTCCGGAATATGTTTGCAATAAATGCACCACTGAAATAGAAACAATAAGATTTTCGAAGAGAAATTTTTTAAGCAAACCACGATTTGAAGCTATCCGAAAAATGAAACACATCTGATTGTTCCTAATTACTGCTTTTCGTTTCGTTTATTAATTACACATTTCGCATCGACAGAAAGTTCATTCTTGTACATGCAGAGGCATTTTTTTGAGAATATATATGAATTCATACTCTTACTACTCACCGTAAACTTTTTACATATCGTATAAAATTTGTCACATATCCATAATCTATGAAGTTTTCTCAACATTGTCAAAAAGTTTTCGTCTTCACCCTCCTCTAATACTTTCATAAGTGACGTATTGGAAAGGAAATATGTCTTTAAAGATGATCTATATCCATATACCTGTCAATGAATTAAATAATATTTACAAATAAAGAAAGAATGTGGTATAACATTTAAGTATTCATTCACTGAAGGAAATCCATAAAATGGCATAATTTTAGGAAAACACTGTCTCGGAGATCGATTTATCATAGTAATACCTTATTAAGTGTCATGAGCAGATTTAAATATTGACATCAAAATAAAATAATTCGCGTATGACTGCACAAAAAAAAATTTGACAAAGTATTTGTCACTAAGGAGTATCCGCTATATACCGATACCACAATTTGTAGAATTAAAATAAAATTCGCTATGTGCTATCGATTGGGTTTCTGCGTGACCAAATACATGTCCTTTAATGCTGTCACTCTAATAGAACTCTATACTTATAATTCGAGGGTGCACGAGTGAAACTAAATATTCTAAATGATATAAGGGTCATGCGAAACTGAAGTGAGAAATGCAAAAATGTATTTTTGTAACTTTTCCTGCAGCCTTTCGGAACGTATCTAATATTTTATGTGTGTTGATGTACGCTAACACTCTCGAATTACTGCAATACGCAACTGGGAATATGCAAAAAAAGTCGTTACTCCCGAAGTATGCGAACCAAGATGGCAGACACCGAAACGTAGTATATGTACCAGGTTAGAGTTAGGCCATAATTTTGTTCCAATTTTTTCTATTTTAGTTCTATTACGAGTTCGGGGACTAGCCAAGTGACTCCCGTTGTATTTGTACCTGAAATTATGGCCTAACCCTAACCCGGTACACATAGTACGTCCCGGTGTCCGCCATCTTCGGGAGCACCAAAAAGTCTTGTTGATGTGATTAATTTATTTTTGTTAAATGAACATGTGGTTCAAAAATGCAATAAAATTTGTAAAAATACTTACTGCTCTATCTGCACACGCGTCTATATGTAACGTTTTATCGTCGGTCTCGTCCACGTCGACAGTGACAAAAGAAACTCGAATTAGCATTCGTGCAACTATTGGATGCTTTTCTTTACCTTTACTGTGACACCCTACGAAATAAATAGGAATTATTTAACAATGCACATAATTTAAAAGAGTTTAATGTCCCCGTACTTGGAGAAACTTTCATATAAGAACCCCAAATTTAATACTCCGGTCACTTAAAGTCCAATAGTAATAATATAGGCTATATATATATGAATTTTATTAAGCAATGAGTGAATCGTACATATTCAATCTTGTTACTTCAGTAACCCCCTAAAGCGTTTTCGAGGGACAGCACAACCAAACAAAAATAAAAGTTTGAATAAAATGTTCGGATGTCGTAACAGTAATACAATGAAAAATCTATAAAATTCAGAAAACGGTTTGATTTTATCACCTAACAAGTTCAATGTATCATTCACATACTTAAAACTTCGTTTAAAAAAAACTGTTAGTATCTATTTATATTAGCTTAATTTGACGTTCGAAATGTTGTGATATAATATGTGTTTTATGCAGATAAACGACCTATTTTGCTAATATACTGAAGCCAATACCGATTGAGAAAATAGTTCGATAGGTGACAAGCATACAGCATGGAATAGTGTTGCACAACTGAAAACCTGGGGCATTTGCAAAAAAAAATCTAATCAAAATGTCTTAATTCAACCGTAAATTTCGATATAGCAAAATATCAGTTTCACACTTGTTGCATATGTCCTGAACTAAATTGTAAACTAGGCACTCATGTAATTTCCTCGAAGGTAGAAGTAAATATGAAACATTTGTACCGCGCTACACCTACATCACGTAACACATCGTAAGTAAGTTAATAACAATCCGCGATATCTCCACACTTTAATGTCAGTGCATATACAGTGTCCCAGAGAATAACAAATTTTCTCACCTTCAATACTCAATATCAGAAAACACCAAACTGCAATCGGGATTAACGTTAACTTTCTTCGAAGAAGTTGCCTTGGACAATGCATTGCAAACGAACATCCACTTTCCATGTGTTCAGAAAATTGACTAATAGGATCAGCTATTCGACGTAAGTATTTTAACAATCGGGGCATTATTGTTTCATTAGGAAAGGTTTCTTTTATGTATGTATCATAGATAGATAGTCCCTAAGCTGCTCTTCTCTTCTATGGCAAACACTTGGCTGATCATTTGAAAATTATTTATTAAATGGTCTGTAATTAAGTGTTCCCGAAATTGTATTTCTGATCCACCGTCGATATTCAAATTAAATCTAATTTTTGGTTGTTATAACTAAATTACGATATTTTGTGTGAATCACTTTCACGCCATAAAAAATATTGAGTAATTACAATAGTGTTGTGTCGAATTTAAAAGCAGGAATTCGCGTGCTCTTAATTATCTCTCATAAAGTTTTCTAAAAATGGCGTGTGAAAGTTTGAACCATTGAACGTTCATCGAAGTCATTGACAATTTTTGATGACCTTACGAGTGTTTCAGTATTTATTTTACTTTTATTCTTCAAAAAAAAATATGATATTTCCATTGCGTGATTACTCGTGATCGTTTCAAACAATTGTATGGAAAATAACTTTAAAATCGAGAACACTAGAAATAAATTTTTTAATTCAGAAGTCCAAATTACAATGTATTCAGATAAATTTGAATGTAAATATTCTCAATGTCGTTTATAAGATAAATTTAATTAAACAATTAGACGTCCGTGACCACGAATCAAATTTTGATGCGGTCAAAAGTTTAACACTGTCAATGAGCATATACAATCTTAGTATCTATACCTATATCTGCATATATCTTCGAATCAAGTTAGCTATACTTAATTCATTTGTTTTTTTCAGAAGATTCGCGTACGTATTGCGAAAGTACGCTGTCATCGTCTTGCATTTTTATTATGTTTTGCATCAGGGCTATGACGAATCTACTCGTAATAATATAACTTAAAACACTCAATGCATTTGTGCACACGGCCTACAGGACATTTGGAAAGCATGATCCTAAATATACTATGTAGGTGCACGTAAAGACACTCTGTCCAATTTTTGTCATATATTCTGTTGTTAATAGGAAACACGTTTTAACAAACTCCGTAATTTGCCTACTCAGAGACATTTGTAAAACGAAGTTTTTGAACAAAAAAAGATGAAAATTCATTTACAAAATCATTAAATTGCCACCTGTGTTATCAAAATTATAGTTTTATATAAATAAAATCAATTTATTTTATCAATTTATAGAAATAAAATTAAAATCTCCCACATATTATTTTCTTATCATTTCCCCAGTGTTTTGATCCTGTAATTGTGGTGTATTTATACTGTATTGTATGTCTCGCGAAGACACTAAATAGATCTTTCAGACATAAATGCTAATCATTTTCGATATATAAAAGATACTTCGGGGTTTCCAAAACCCATGTATATATTATTAGAAAGTCTCGAAAAAAAATTGACCACAATATTGAAGCTAAATTTACACAGACAAAGAGATTTTGTGTTTAACATTTTCGTGGAATTAAAACCTACGATTTCATGGAATATTATATATAAAATGTCAACGGGCACCGGTAATTAGAGCACCTGGATGTTTCTATTATTAGATATAAAATGGCAGTTTTTATTCACATATACTTAACATTGTGCGTTGTAGAAAACACTAATAAAAAAAATCAGTAAAATCCCCATCATATTTAACATGGCGCATTTGAGAACAACGACAATGCAAGAACACGGGAGTTAACAAAAACGACGATTCAATGATGCATTTATTTCACAGATACCTAGATGTTGTCAACTTCTGTCCTAAATCTTTTTCTAGTAGTCGCCACGCAAATACAAAATTCCCATCGGCTGCGAATATACACCTTTACCCGAAGCAAACCTGAGCAAGATTTTGAATTTAACTAATTTTTTTGAAACAAATATCTTCTTGATGGCATAGGATTGGTTTGTTCTAATGAGTATTTGCTATAACCTAAAAGCGTGCACTGTATAAAATATTTTCACGTTCGCCTGGTGTCAAATTTTAATAATCTGTAACAAACTATAGATTATGAAGAGATTAGATGTTTGTGAAAAGGTTAGTAGGAAGCTATTACGGACAATTAAAATGCGTTGTGGTTTGAATTATTTCCATTTTCAATCACGTTTCTAATAGAATGTTTATGACTCAAAAGCTTCATTTAAAATTTTTGAAAGAAGATAAGAATGACAAAATGTAAAGGACTTATTTAAAAATAGCGATTCCATACAAAAAAAGGTGAGAAAAATTTCAAAGGTACGAAAAGGATAATTGTTTTCCATTGTCAATTAATAAAGTATCTATTTTACGATCTTAGTAACCCCAAATAAAAGTTATTATTATTGGATAAAATTAAATTTTTTCTACATCATTTCACCGCAAGTTAAACATAGGCTTGTGAAAATTGGCATAATTGCTAATAATTGATGCTCTGCGGTTTACTTCACACATCAAGTAATCTAGAGAAATAATTTTGAGGCATCAGAGCATTGTATTTTTACATGGCAATCTAATCTATGTCGTATGATTTCAATGTTATACAAGATTAAATTCAAAAACATGCTATATAAAATGTTAAAATACCGCAGATAGACACTGCATAACGAAGCAAATTTCAGATATGTGCTATTGTAAGAATGTTGTTTCCCAATTAAATGCTTTTTTAAACTGCCAGTGTTTAGCTGTGTTTAGCTGTTAATTTATCTCCAACTTTTAATTTAAAACTATGAAAATGAAATGAAATGTCGTTTGTCAAATACAAAATAAAATTACAAAAAATAGATGGTATGTCATTTTTTGTGCCAGTCCTAATCGAAAGCGTTGGCATGTTGGCAACCTTCTTAAGGTAATGAATAACAATTTGTCTTTAAACTTTAAAATGTTATCACTTTAAACCTGCGAATTCTTATGCAATGCTTACAAAGCCTGTAATCTTTAAATTCCTTACAGGGGCTTTCCAAGGAGGATATTGTGTGACAATAAAAAGATATTGTGTCCGGGAGCTTAAAATTCAAAATACAATGAGGCTTTTATTGTTACTTATCGATCTTGATCAGTAAGTATGTTGATAGGTATTTGTCTGTTTGTTTGTATGTTTGTTTGTTTGTCTGTTGAATGCACGCGATATTTCACAAAAACGAGGTTGAATCTGCTCCAAATTTGCATTGTGCATTTATCATATCTCGGACCAGAAGCCTATAGATTTAGGATGAATTATGTTGTATATTTAGCGAGTTATTATTTGATTAGTGATGGGACACGCGGTGTCACTATAGAGTCAGAGCGAATGAATCGAAACCTGAGTTTCTGTTTTGGGGGATCCCCTAACTTTCGATCGATAAGTCTTCGGTCTCCAACCGATATTCTCGTTAGTACATCACAATTGAAACAAGTTTCTATGGTCTTTCCCAATAGTAACAAAAAATATATATGTTTGCGATAAAAGTTGAAATCTCTATTCAAATTATTAAGTTCTCCACAAGAAAATAGCTATGGAAGTGAAGAAGAAAAACCGATATTATACCGAACCGATACTATCAGTGGACAAAACGGAGGTTTGGTCTTCTTCAAAGCCAGACAATTCCAATTCGAGCAGGCCTTCAAACACTGGAAGAGGAATGTGATTGCAGTGTGGAATTGGTCTAATTGCAGACTCGAGGTTTGGATAAACCAACGATTTCCTATTCTTCCTATTGATTGAAGTATCAGTCATCAAAATAATTTTTCGAGATCATTGGAATACTTAAAGCGAAGTGACTTTCTATCCTTTTTGGTCCACAGTGGAAGATGCTCAATACATTGCTTGCATACAATATGTGGTGCCCATACCTTATCTTGATCACCCAGCATTATAATGAAGTAGGCAAGATAAGCACACTTCGCAAATTTACTGATCCTTTTCTGTTGGATTGCAATGTATATTCTCCGCAAATATAGCAAAATACATTTGGATTGTTTAAACAATGTCGTCTAAGAGAAGATGTAGCCATACTTAATTTTTGCTTCCCGAATCTGCAACTCAATCAAAACAATGCAGCTTATTTATTTCATGTCTGACTTCTTTATATATAAAATTTGACTTTTACAAGGCGTGTGATGTCATAATCGTTTGCCACAATAAAAACCTACACTTTTAATTATAACGCTAAAATCCATATCGAAAACCCCCTAATTTTAAGGTAAAAAGGTATAAAATAGCAAATATTTCAAATAATTGACCTGATGAGAAAAAACGAGTATGATTTTTGGATTCAGCACCCCTAAATTAATCTAAATCAGATTAGAAACATTGGGCAGCAAAAAATGTGTTGTCCAGTGTAATAGAATTCATTGGTATTTTTTGATATATTTTTCGATATACTTGACTGGGCGAGGCACGATGGTTTCTTCTGAAAATTGTATCAACAAGTCATCAATCTATGCCTTAGAGCAGTTGTTCTGTTTCAGAACAAACCATGCGTGCCTGGTGCAGTCACGTTTCAAACAGATCGAAGCGTGTAGTGAAGGCAAAGGGAGAATAGATTGAAAAAAAAATGAATTCTATTGTTTATCTTCATTCTGCTATTTTCTGCAAAATAATTTTTTCTCTCTTACATTCATATTGTAGATATTTTAATATACATTTGTCTACATTTGGTCTGATCACCCTGTATTATAGAATAAAACCTGTAGACATTTCTTCAAGCCACAGGATTCCACGTGAACATACTTTTTAAGCCGAAATCGATAAAGGCGAGTATCGACTGTCGATATTGGTACAATTACCTTTGCTCTCACTTTATTTCACCCGTAAACTTTGAGGACATACAGACATTGCCGCTCACGGATATAAGGAACTATACATTTACACCCACGGGCATTTTTACTCATGTATACTTGCATCGTCTTTTTACACCGACAGACATTTTCATACACTTACATCAGCATCCACAAATATTTGCAAATACTGTACCCTAAGTGCAAAAGTCTATTATTGCGAATATCTATGGATGTGAACGTAGACTACGTGAGGTTGAATCACCTAAAACTAATAAAAACCTAATTAAAAGTAAAATAAAAAGTAAATATCACAAAAATAATATACTTTCATATGGCATTTTTGCCATCACAAGATAACCTGCTCTATAGCGCCCACGTGTTCCAAATATAAAACTGCGGTTATCAACTGGGGAAAAGGTAGAAAATGGCTGCTGGCTGCAAGACTGCTGGATTTCCCGAAATTGGTCACAATAAAACGCAATCAAAAATTCTGAAAAGTAATATTTTTTGCATCTTTGTTCTGTGCGAATTCATAAGACAAGCATTCTCGTTACTGATCAGTAGACGCCGTTAATTTTACATTTGCCTGTCTCAACAAGTAACATGAAGTGAACTGCAAGTAGCTTCAAAGCATATAAAATAGTTTAATAACTGTATACCTACTTTTGGGCCACAACCTACTTTTGGGTCACCCTGTAAACATAAATTAGTAAGTCTTAGTCTATTTGACTTAAAATTCTGATTCAATATCAAATAAAATGGATGACTTTTACCGAAACTATAGAGCAGGCATACATCATATAAAAACTATGTTCTACTTGGTCTGCTTCAATGTATGTTTTCATGCGGTTTTATAACGTATTTGCTCACCAACATTGAGTGGTCTCTTGACAAACAATTATCCTGCGTCGTGCTGATTTGGATGTAATCATTAACACATTGCAATTAATCTTTTGGAGTATTGGACCAACGACCTGTTCGTGTTGACTTTATTGCATGGACATCAGCCTTATTACGATTACCGAAGCTAAATATACCTAGCAGAGAATTCAGTCATGGTTCTTTATACTTTCGTTTTCATGCTTAATTGCTTGCGCAAACTGCTTTATTGAGATTGCTTTAGTTCAGTGTTTGAGAGCAGTGCAAAACTCTTTTCTAATTTCCCGTAATCTGGTGCTTCTATTAAGCTCATTCATCAGGAAATTGCAATTATACACTTAGTTATGGGATTCTGTTCACTTGATTGAAATGAATCGATAGTAATGCAAGTTTGTGAATTTTAAAAATGTATTCAGTGTTATGAAATGGCCGGAAACCGATGGCAATGGCCGACACAGATAGCTTAACGTACCTAGTCATTCAAATGCCCTCCACAATAATTCCCACTGCATAATGATATATATATGGAGCTAGTTTGGTTTAACAGAGCTCGCATAAAGGTAGTATATATGTATTATGCAGTGGCAAATGAACAATACAGTATTTTGCCTGAAATGCTATTTATCACTCATGCTGATCATATCCGATCCATTACAGAGCAGAAATCCCACTATTGTTCAACTGGGAAATTCTAAACTGTACTTTATGTTGCATCATTGATAAATGATTCAATAGGTATATACTGCGTCAGAAGCGATAAGGTTTTATATGTTATAATGTAAATGAGAATGAAGATATATAGTGAAACTTCTGAGGCTCAATTATACTCAAAACAAAGATTAAAACATCCGAAAAAGAAATGTATTTAGGTCACAATGTAGTAATAACGATAGGCACAGAATATGATGTTTAATATCCTACCGGACGGAGAAACCTACCATTTTATATAGAAGTTTACATAATTGTTATGATGTGTTTATGACTATATGACATGTGAAATGGCCCAGATTTCTGTGAGTCAACATAGAGGAATATTTCCCATTAGGTCTAAGACCGTTCGCTCGTCTCTCGAAAAGTTAGGTAGTTAATAGTTATTATACAAGTACGGATAGTTACACTGTATTATGCTTTGGATGAAGCAAAAGTTCTACAATGAGTTGATTAAAATAATCGATGTCAGTTTTTCGAAGGGTAAGAAGATTTGAATATTAGCTTCCAGCGTTTATTCGCTAGACATTTTAGAGTGTTGTGTATTAATATCCGTTGTATCCTCCATACTAACCCAAAACAATTGGATGAAATGCAATAGTTCGCTGATTGGCCCTCACATACATGGATAAACACTCTCAATTTATTTCTAGTTTTTATATGGTATGTATGTATTTACATAGACAGGATAATAGGAATATTCGGATAATGCAACAATATGGCAGGAGCCCCAAGCAATGCGATTATTAGTCAAGTGCCATTCTTCCATGGCAACTTGTCGAGACACCTAACAGAAGTTCTATTGATGGAAAACGGAGAAGAAGGGAGTTTTCTTGTAAGAGATTCAACCGAATTTGGAAAAAAATTTTGCGTCAGTGTACGAGGAAAAGACGAAGTGAAGCACTTTCCACTTGTATGTTCTATGATTTAATTTCTGAATATAGCAAGATCAACTTATAGCATGTTAGACTATCAAACGTAAATTGTACTAAAACAGCGGTTCCCTATCTTTTTTGAGCAACTCAAATTTTTAAAAAAATTAATTTTGTAAAAACTAGCGACCCAAATATATGCTCACACACTAAATCCACTACTAATGATTAATATAAACCGATCATTTTTACATTCATTTCCCAGAAACTACGAAAGTGGTAAAGTTGCGTTTGTTTGCCATCAGCTAGTTTTTAAAAACGTTGCGTGGGTTCACTTATGCAATATAGATGCCGCCAAGTGTATATGCTGCGATACCTCCCACATATACAATTACTGAGCAAATTATAATACCAAATCTAAATTCAACTAAAACATCAAATCAGCAAGTTAAAATAGCAGCTTTTATAAAAAAAATTAGGCGACTCAAGAATATATTTAGGCCCCCAGTTTTGGCGACTCATTTTCTGTGCATTGTAAGCAATGGATGATCCCAGTAGCATTCATACCTTGTTAAGTTTGCCTTCTGTATTTTGACACCATTTACAAAATGTCGTCAGATTATCTGAATGTAAATTTGGGGATTTTTTGATACAATTATAAAAATCGAAGCCTCGAGGTGTTAATGCACCCTGTACTAAAATGGGCAATCAATATTAAATATATGGTTCCATTACATTTGAACTCACGTACATTTGACAATTGCACCTGCATACTATCGCACTTATGATTTTTTTTTTTGTTTTACGGATATTTGAACCCATACTCACCCTAACCCATGGGTTTTAGCACCCGCATATAGATTGAACCCGCGGATATACGCATGTGTTCAAATGTACGTGGGTTCAAATGTACGGTCACCTAAATATATATATATACATACACTCCGATAGATGATTTGCAATTTGTAATAATCCTCTGTTTGCTAGGTTTTTGATAATGGCGTTTACTACTTTGGGAGATCGGAATTCATTTCACTCGAAAGCCTGATGAGACACTTTGCAAACCAACCGGTCTTGAGATGTCGTTCTGCTAACATGGGGCCACATTATATACGTGGACCAGAGATGACTTTAAAATATCCTTATCCAGCAATCATGGAAGAACCTGAAACGTAACTTTATTTTTCAATTCCTGTTTTCTCAAAAAACTTTCTTTTTGTTAGTGAGTTCACTGTGATAGCGTTGGGTCACAAACAGGGGCATGCCAACTTATCTGCTGTTCTGGACGAGTTTCTGATAATGATCCCCCTTATACCTAACTTCAAAATAGTTAAGGGCATAGACAGATTATAGATGTCGTTATACATGAGATAGGGTCAAGTAAGATAGAAACGTTTTTTTTTTTAAATAAATCATCAAACTGAACAACAAACTCACATGTATAAGATCGAACTCATTTATTACCAAAAAGAAAGTCACTTATTTCTATGTCGAATCGCTACTTTGCTGTCAACAAATGTCTAAACGACAGTCTCTTTCGAATTTCTTTTCGATGCTAATCGAAGATAAACTTGTCAGGCGCTACTTTGACAACGAAGACCTCGAATATGTTTTTATCTGAATGACTTTGAGAAAGATCGTTCGCAACTATCAATTGAGTAGCCGATTGTGAGTAAAATGCAATGCACGAGGTTGAAAAAACATCCCAGCCAAGCTCAACCAATGAAACAAAAAAATCTTCAGCATTTTTTGGAAAATTTTTCTTTCCACTTCGGAAAAGCGACGTACCAGTAGACGTTTAAGCAGCCACTCAGACAGATTTTGGGGAATGGTTGTGAACATTACCCCGTTTTCGCATGTTATTTGTTACTTTTTGGTTATTTCTCGGAAATTTCAGTACGAATCAAATAACTCAATGATTGTCTTCCTATATAGTTTAATTGTAGTAATTAAAAATTAGTTTAGAAATAGCCGTGATAGAATAGAGTTAGGTTAAACTTTTCTACTGGTACTTTTAATAACCGGGTTGAATATTTTGAATTAAAATGATTGCTTGAAACATATAACATTAAACTAATTTGAGGCACTAACTCGCAAAACCACCTTTGAAATGACCATCAAAATTGTTACAATTGTAAAATGTAGGAAAAACTTTTCTGGGGAAAAGGGTCAGAGAAACATCCATTGTTGACTCACCATCAACACAGTCACACAATACTGAACACATAATGTCAGCTTTTAATTAAATAAAAACACATCGAGAAAAACATGTGTAATAACGCCAACTCTACAGCTTGGCTCTGCTGCCCCCTACAACGCGCCGCCCGGGGAGGCTGCCCCTTTCTAGGCAGTCCACTGGTTACACAACTTTCGCTGTCCACGCGAATTCAAGCTCCAAGCATTAGCAGAAATCAAAAATTTGCAATTGTACAAGCATGGCTTCTCATTTTATATCTATTTTATTTTGCACAGGTATGACCAGATTCGGTTCCAGTCAACCGAATTAGTAGAAGAAACTGTTGACACTTTGAATTCGAGAATGAAAGGCATACCTCTTGCCACCAAAGCAGGATATTTGTTTAAGGAAGTAAGATCATATCTTGGCGTATATATATTAGTTATTTATTTTATCAATTCAGACCAAGTTATAGAGAATGTTTTCAATTTTTATTCTCAATTACTAAATATATACCGGTAAGTTTAATTGAACCTCCAGAAGTATGTGCTCCAAGATGGCGCACAACATGAACATAGTATCTGTACCCAGTTAGGATTCAGGTTGTGCGTCATCTTGGTGCACATACTTTAGAAGCGCCGTTTAATTTGTTTCGTATTTGCTGCAATCATTTGAAATAATATATATACGAGTAACAAAAAGGTTTTGCCAACTCACGAACACTAAAGGAAGTAAGTTCAAATCATAAAATTCCGTGCATTTCTTTCTAACAATATTGTTGTTGTTGTTGTGAAAGCAATTTTTCATCATTTGAGAATATCATACGAATGTATCCCACTGTGTAGTCCGTTCAGTATTTGTTTTGCACAACTGCTTCCTATGAATCATTTTTATGGAAAATGCCACTGATTAGTAAGAAAATTGTTAGTGTAACTTCTTGTACCAAGATATTATTAAATTGAGTTAGATTTAACATGGTATAATCTTAATCCATAGAGTTTATAGATACGAGGGTGTGAACTTGCGTAGAATTATTTTTTGAGTAGTTATTTGGGAGTGAGTGCTCAATTTGAATATTAACTTGCCATTTTAGTTTTATTATTTTCATTTAGGGTGGTTTTGTGAAGAATTGGAAATATCGGTGGTTTGTCTGCATTAAAAATAAACTCAGCTATTTTGCAGAAATTAATTCAGAAACACCAATCAATGTAATTGATTTAAAAGAATGTTCAAAGTGCACGGAAATAAAAATAAAAGGTAATCGGCATATTCGTATCAGATTTCTTTGTCAGCTTAGCTACTATAATATTTGCAATGCTCAAAAAGGAACACTGCGTAGTGTAAAGTGTAGTTACAACTTACAGTCATAGTATAGATCTCAATTGGATAGAAAAGAACATCGATAGAGATTTGTTTTTAAAGAGGTACTTGACCGTAAAAGCAAAAGTCACCTAAGGTTCGACCAGGAAGGTTCGACGAACACGAGTATATGACTAGGCTGATCCCTAACTCGTACAATATGTTTCGAATTATATGGACGCGTAAATTATACAGAACGTCAATTATTATTATGCCATAATAACTAATCGACTGTTCAGAGTATCTGTTTGTTTTGAATTCGTACTAATTTTGCTGTGTGTTTGGGTTTTGCGTAATTGTGTACACTACTTGCGTAATATTTTAGTTTGATTTGATGACTATGTAATATTTAAAATGCCTGTTCTAATACATGTCCACGTTAATCACTTTATTTCCACTGCTCACGTATGGTGACCGTACATTTGAACCCATGTACATTTGAACCCATGCGTATATCCACGGGTTCAATCTATATGCGGGTGCTAAAACCCATGGGTTAGGATGAGTATGGGTTTAACTATCCGTGAAACAAAAAAATTTCCATAGGTGCAATAGCATACAGGTGCAATTGTCATGGGTTCAAATGTACGTGGGTTCAAATGTAATGGAACCCTCACGTATATGTATATATCACAGGATTGAAGTTCGACTGGCGGGAATTATCTGTGTGCGTTGTGTGGTATAGTTTTTGTGCGTTGGTGAAAGAACGCTTGATTCGTACGTCACCTTTGTTTTGTCTCCCTTCCGAATCTTTCTCTTGTTGCTCCCTTGTTTATGGCGTTTTTATGGAAAATCGAAATAAATCCACCTATTAAGAATCACAAATGTTTATTTTAGAGATCTCGAACTGTATTAATTCTGTTCAAAACGGTTTGAAACGTTCGCAAGACTTTCCACTTTTTGAAGTTTCGACCAAAAAGTTATTGCAGATCATTGTGGTGTATAAAACGTCTCAGCGTTACAGGCCCGAAAAACTTAGCATCAATAGGGCGTGCCGCATCTATCGCATCTGTTAATATCAATCGACTAACTTGTGCGTAGTTTCTAGAAATCCGGCAATGTCTGACAAATGAAACATAATGGTTAGGCCTATATATATGTGCAGATAAATAAATGCCTTGATAAATTTGCGTTGCATCATTTGAGTGTTTTCACAATATGTGATGATGTGGTTGTCGTAATAGACCTTTGTCACTTTGGGCCCTATTTCAGGCGGAAACACATAGTGGTATACACATTTGAAATTAACCTAATTTCGTCTACAGACTTGTGTGAAGAAAACAACAGCTGGATTTTATCATTGATATTGCAGATATTGAAAAAATCTAAGACTCATATCCTACTTTTTTATGATAAAAATATATTATGTTCACCGTTTAGTAACAATGGCTAGCCAACCTGACCTAGATTATTACATTCAGGCAAGAACCATTGTTTCGCACTAGAGGCAGAAGGCAGAAACTGGAACTTCAGTGCAGAATGTGAAGAAGACATGGAGGAATGGGTGGCGTTACTGAAATGGAAAATTAAATACAATAAATCACAAGATATTGATTATTTGCCACAAAATAAGACAAGTATAAAGAAGTAGAGAGCTGTCTAACATTATTTTAGGTAACAACAGGACTGTATTATCTATACAGACACTTTATAAATAAATCAGTATATAATGAGTAATATCAAAACTTGCCTAAACACTACTTTTGGAACATTCCAACTATGCAAATGTTATCATATTTAAATCCGATATCCTTTTATCCTATTATATTATTTCACATCTTATTCACATAACCATGCTTAATTCATGTGTATTTATCTTGGAAAATGTTATTTAGTGTGATATAAAATCAAAAAATATAGCAGTACTGTTATAGATCAAATGTTCACTATTCATTATTACTAAAGCTGTTGTTCTCATTTAATTATAGTTTAGATCCGTATTTTATAATTACATACTTTTATGTTAAATCATTAGATAATGCTTTGAGTAATGTCAAAACTTCCTTAAACACTTCTTGGAACATTCCAACTATGCAAATGTTATCAAATTAAAGGCTCCTTTTTCATATTCTATTGTGTATATTTCACAACACTATTCACATAACCCTTCGTAATTCATGTGTATTTATCTTAGGAAATGTCTTCGTTATTTAGTGTGATATGGAATCAAAAATATAACAGTATTATGATTGATCAAATTTCCAAAACTTTTCATTATTACAAAAGTTCGTGTTTCAATTTAATTATATATATATTTTTGAAACATCGTCCCGTCAGTTAAATGTGAAGGATCAGGTAACAATTGCAAGTTTGGCAGACTCTTAGACCTTTTAATTTCGATGACCCATTCACATGAAAAGCATTAAAATCGATTTTCGTTGTGCTTTTTTCATAATCTTCAATACTAAATGGCGCCATCGAGTGGGCAGAGCAGTGAGTAATTTTTGTTTGCTGAAACATTCCTTGGATAACTCCTCAAATGGCCACAGATTCATTTTCAAAATAATTAAAGGAAACACCGATTCAATTTTTTTTGCTGAACTTGGTCGAAAATTTAATCCAATATCATTTCAAATTAGAATATTATTTAATAACCCTTGATCAACAATCGTATCTCAGTAAAGATATCTTTCCACTGCAATCGGCAATAAACATGAGTTTTAAGTTGGATTGCTCTGTTGGCAGTAGTTCGAAAAAAGGGAATATAATCAATTTTGCGCGATCGAAGTGGCTGTTGGCTCAACAATACCTTTGAAAATAATCATTGCCTGTAGTAAATAAAGCTGCATAATTTTTTCACCAGGCAACATTCAAATTAAATGTTTCAATTCATCTCAAACTATGTTTTCAGATATCATTGTTGAAAAAAACGAATTAGATTGCATCACATCGAAGTTCTTAATGAAATTTTCTCCCAAATCGTTTTGGTGTTAAATGCTTTCGGCAAGTCAAGAAAATACTATAAATTATTTTTTTTTCGAACCAACATAAAAAGAAGTGACACTATCTATCTAGTACATGTAAAACTTTCGAGCAATTCTAAAACAAAAGTTTAAAAATTTAAATATATCGAAAAAGGAAAAACAAATTCTGTTTGTTGACACCACCTGCCAGATGTGCACGTTCGGAGTGGCATTCAAAAGCAATTTTAAATTTCACCTCCCTGCCGGATTTACCGATATAATTGGGATTATATTATCCTAATCTAGATATATGAACACACTTTATGTAAACTGAGCAGAGTCGGATGATGGGTTGTAGGTTTTACCAAGCTTACGATTTGAAATTGGTAAATATTTTCCTAGATCAACGTTTTGCCAAATAAATGAAATCCACAATTTTTACATTTCAAAGTTCAAGTACGTTCTTTCAAATGAAGATGCAAATGCTAATTTTAGCACGACTGCCATTTAAAAATCATTGTTGGCAAACACGTTATTAACGATTTACAAATTGAACGTTCGTCATGTAAAACATATGACAGAATACTTTGATTAGGGTAATTAAAACTATTGTTATTTTAGAGATGTGCATATTGCTGTTCCAGTGCTTATTAACATAGATATTGATGATAAATTACATTGTAATATGAAAGAATGGTTTATTATACATGAATCAATTAACATATCGTGAAATCTACGTTTCCACCAGGCAGGCCCACTTTCGCAGCATTTACAAGGAACTTGGTATCAGTATTGTTAATAGCACATCACTGATATGATGGATTGCTGGGAAAGGACAAGATAGTTAAGGTTGACCAGAAATGTTCCACTGAATATTGTGCGTTCCATAAGTATGTGTACCAATATGGAGGTAACTAATTTTGTTCGCCTACTTCACATCAAGTTGTGTACAGGGACTGACTACTATGGACAGAGGGTCTATTTACTTGGCCAACACAGACAGTCCCCTAACTCGTAATAGAACTAAAATAAAGAAAACCGGAATAAAATTATGGCCCAACCCTAATCTGGTACACGTACTACGGGAGTACCGAAATGTTGTCTATAATCCCATAAGGCCTCAGGTCCATATGCACATGCGTATGTTTTAGCGAATTTATCTTAACTGAATATAGAGCTATTTATGCTAAGGCCTATTCGAAAAGTTTCATAAAGCAATATATCAGTGTTACATCTATATATTCATCATACAGTGACATATCATACCGATGATATGTCTTCAACTTTCATTTCCACTTACTACAATAAACAATAGTATTTATTGGACACGTAGTGGACATAACGATCGTTTCAATATTATGTTGTTGTTGTTCTTGTTATCCTTGTTGTTGTTCTTGTTCTTTGACACGTTTTTAAAAAGTCGCTTTTCTCTTCGAATACTGGACCAATTGCTTTGAAATTTTCAGTGGTTGAAGATAAAATTTTTCTCCAGAAGGCTATTACTTTTTTTTTCGCTATGACGTCATCAAAATTATTGCCATTGGGTGGCGCTACGTGTCCATATATTTGAGCATAGCTCTCTTGTTTTAATGGATGATGCAGTTCACTTATGCTTTAGATCTTAAATGGGTAGGTCTGGCCATAGTCTATATTCCATGAAAAGTCTTAGCAGATTGCACCATTGTTGTAATGGTAAAGTCTTCGGTACGTAATCTCTTTCTGCAAATTACTGCTAATCCTAGCGACACGCCTTTAGTATTATCTTCACAGCGCATCGGAATAGACAGTGTAGGGTTAAATTTTACTTTTGAAATTTGCAAATCGTACATGAAAACTAAATTTGAAAAGTCCTGCATTAGACCATCATCTGACTCGATAAGACAAATGTAAAAAAGATTCCAGTGGCATTGACACAACGCCCGCTATTAAATAAAGCATTCCATATTTCATTTATCACTTTCTTCCGAAAGCATGACACACATCCTAAACTTTGTTCCAGGTAAATTCAGTATAGTGACCAAAAATCCTTTTTATAGATCATTTGAAACAAACTGAATCTGTAGTTCTAGTTTATACGTACATCGTATTATAATCTCCTTCATCAAAATGACGGAATTGCATATCAACGTATCTTCATCAGCAAATAATTCATCGAATATAACAGATTCCATTGGGGAAACTTCCCATTGGATGCATGATTGGAAGTGGTACGGAAATATAATAATTACTTCGTTTTATTTGCTCTCGGTTATTTATGCTGTGATTCTGCTCACTATTGATTTCGTTAAAACACGCAAAGTTGGAAATGCTGAACAAAATCAAAGCACTGGAAAGAAAATTGGAAAATGGATGAAAATCGTTCGCTTCCTGATGTGCATTGCGTTTTTAATTTTTTGGCTTGCAAATACCTTCGAAAAATTCATTGTGGAGAAATTTATCGTCAAATACTGTGCAGCAACAAAGTATTTTAAATCAGTAATGAGTGTGACTTTTTTGGGATTAAGTTACACCGTCCTATGGTTGCGACAAAGACTCTTATATACGAATCCAGCAATGCAACATCTCACAACAGCTCCGTTGAGATTTGTTAGCTCGCTGGCTCTGGTTTTTATAATAGTTACAGAAATTCTGAACTCAACGGCTTTCATCATCAGTTATCGAATTGGAATGACAAATCTCGGATGTGCAATAGTGGAATCGTTGTTGCCCAGTTCGGGTACTTGGATTGCTGTTGGTACGTCTTCCATCATAACGCAAGCTACTTTGTTGTTTCTTTTTTATATATCCTTTGTACAAACATCGATCCAATGTTGGGGAAGCTGCCGATAACTTGTTACCGGTGTTGTACCGATCTCTTATTACAGCAACTTTCTGTTTTGTAACGGATACAATAGCATCTGCAGTGATGGCTAAATCAGTTCTGAACGATTCCTGGACACTCACGCAGGTCATGGGATCTAGTTTATATGTTAATTTTATAATGGGCATACTATCATTTCCTGACTGGAAGCAAATAATATTTCCATTCATCTTTAAGGAATAAATAGTAATTCATTTGAAAGCACGTGTGTCGGTGAATCATCAGTTGTTATTAAACATGTCAATCAAGAGAACTGCTGGATGCTGTGTTCAACCATAAATAATCGACCCGTCTACGTGGTCACGGACGGTTACGACGCCGAATTATACAGGAAAAATAACAAAACTGGAAGTTGAATCTCATTTTACCAAATGTTACATTTAAATCATGATGCAATTTTTTATGGACATTTTCGGGATCATTGAGCCCTTATTATTTTTTTAGTTCATGTTAAATATTATAAGATTTTTGCAATTAGACGTGTTTATGCCGGTTAACAAAGCAGTATATGTATAAAAATATATATGTATATATATATATATATCACAGATGCACCGAAGAAACTTTTTTCGGACAAAATGACAGCTTTTATTCGAAACAAATTATACTGAAAGCTAAAAAAAACTAAAATCAGCTTTAAAGTTTGTCAATGAATATGTCTTTAAATTATATCTGTTTGACTTCAGTTGAGTATGTTCCCTTTTTTGGTAGTAAAAATTACTGTAGATGAACGTGAAGTTTTGAGTTTGCAGATCGACTAATTTTCAAAAACATTTAAAGTTAAATTCCGACTCAAAATTATGTCACCCCAAAGTTCGAGTCTGACTTTTTGTAATCTTGAGTCGAAACGCAAAGTAAAGTCAAAGTCAAAATTATCACACTCCGATGAAAATAAGAAAAATTTTCAGATGTCCCTGGTTAGTAACCATACGCCTAATAAAATAAGTAGTCAATATCAAAGAAATAAACTTCATCCGCTAGCTGTCACAAACCCTCCGTAATTTTTACTATCATACTTCGTAAATCTAATGTTGTATTTAGTTTCTTTTAATGTATGAGAATGCAACATAAATTTCAGATGTATTTTATGTATTAGTTTGTGTTTATTATTCATTTAAGTTGTATTTTTTTGGTAATAATTTTATTTCTAGATTCACAGCAGAAATATTTGATTAAAATAAATTCTAACGTTTAGTCCTAAATCAAATTTTAGTCGCTAACGTTTCCGTTTCCTTTCAAACTAATCTGTCACGTATGAAGGGTGTCACTGTAGTACGTCAGTGATGAATACCAAATTATATTAAAATATAATTTAATAATTATATTTTCAAAGTTTGATTTCAGCTGTAATTTGCCTTAAATGTTTATTCATTGTAAAATCGCAAGCTGTATTTAACTTTGCCTTCTGTCAAGAAGTTGTTCAACGTGCAATTATGGACTATATGAAATTACTACACAGAAAGTTTGAAAGGTAGATACTGCCAGAAGCATATTGCATTCACTGACCTGATTAGTAGTAAATTTTTTTGCCGGTAAATTTTACACAATCTTGTAAAAGGACCACCGACCGCGTAAGCGAGCCGACGGAATTTGTTCGCGAAAGTAGCAGGCTTTCCGAGGCCTGTGTATTCTCGACGTCACGCGTGAACGCCTACGTTAAATATATAATGCATAGCCGTAGTGAATACGTCTGATAAACCCCTCAGTATGTTGAATTGTCGAATTCCATCAGAATTTTCATGGGTGATAATTTGGTCAAGTTTACCTGCGATAAATCAGATATGGTTGAGTAGTTTGGTTTTTATAGATAGCTATGGTGTAAGACTTTTCGAGAGTGACGATTAAGTTCAATATCTCACATTGTGCGATATTATAAATGATTGCTTTTCATCTTCACTCGTTTATTAATCGTCGTTGACTATACGAAAGCTCTCGACAACGAGACATGAATAGCCCGAAGATGTTTGACCTCGGAGAGGTTGGCTGTGGTTATTCAGTACCGTCGCCGCTATTTTCTTTGCGGTGAGACAAGCCATCATCGTCAAGTTTAGCGTCATTATATTCGGTCTGTGAAGCACGCGGCAAACCGCCCTCGCCCCGAATAATAATGTTGTGGCGGTTCGGCTTGTAAATGTGGAGTTGTGAAATGTACAGAATAAAACCTTGTTTTGTGGTTGTGCTTTTTATTCGAAATAAAATGCGATTTTGTACTGAACGTACACAGATAGTAACCAACTAGTTGATGAGTTAGGAAGTTTTATTTTGTAACTTGACTGCTGGAACGTCGTGAGTGTACAATTGAATCTGTGGAAGCAAAATCAACCAAGCAATCCTATTTTTGCATTAACAGCCAGTATTAATGCGCTGAGTGGCAATACGCAGTATTGAACCGTGGTATATGCTTAGCTTCGGGCTTTGCTCGAGGCTGGTTTTTGTACTTCAAAATGAAGCACTATTTTTAACGCTGCTGATAATCAGAAAACGTGTAGTCACAAACACGTGATATACACCCTACTCGTACTGCTTTTTATGCGACTTTTTTCCTATAAATGTTTAAATCGTTTGTGAAGTTTTATATACAGTATATATATATAAATACACGTAACTAGAAATATATTATGCTCAAGTGGCAGTTGTGATCCATGGCAATTTCGTTTTAGTACAGCTTCAGATTAGCCGCTTTGAATGCGCGTCGGTCATATTGGTCAGTCAGCGGCCATTTTGTTTATGGACGAGGCGAGTTCGCAAGTCACCGAAACAAACTGAGGGAATAATCGGAGCTAATCATAATATTATTATTTTGTAATAGCTAATAATGCTTTAATCACAAACCTTTCATTTATATCAAAATATAATTTCGATTACGGTAAAGCTGTTGTTCCAGTTAAGTAGTAAGCGTGAAAGAAATTTTTAGAAAGTAAAGAATCGATGACTCCTAATTAGTAATTTGGCACTTTTTGAATTAACCTGTTGTGAGACGTAGCTAAGAAAGATTCAGTAGAGCACAGCATATTCAGATAGTTGAAAATCTGGACAATCACAATTGGGTGGTAATCAGCCCATCAGCATAGTGCATAAACTCAAAACATAACCTGCAATGAAAATACCAATATTTGATTCTCGATTTAACAGATTAAATATGTCAGATAGGCCTTCCACTCCAGGCCTGTCTAGTGATTTAATTTAACATATTTCATTTAAAATTACAAGAGGAAACTTGAAACCACTGTGGAAATACAGCGGTAGATGTGAAACGAAAACTGCTTCCTCGACACGATAGGTGACATGCGGTGATGTTGCTAAAAATGCCTCGTGTCGTTGCGGACCAAAAAGCTATATTTGAGTCCAATGAGCTTTTCCGTCGTCTAAGTAGAGAAGCTGAGGTAAGATTTGATTTTCAAAATTGCTTATTTATGTTTTATTAAATACTCAGTCATATAAAATAAGTTTACACTCCGACTTGTATGAAATTTTCTGATGGCATGACCACGAGAACTTACTTCAAAAAAGGACATGGAAATTTGAAAGATAGGTATTATAGGTTTTTAAAATTGACTGGCGCGTTGTCAAATAGATTTTAGTCTATATTGACTTGGAACTTGAAGTACTCCAGACTTACTAAATCGGGGACATTGTTTAGTAAGGCTAATTCCAAGTCAAATACGGAAGTCATCGAAAAAACAACAGTAGAGAAAGTTTGATGAAACATCAAATCTATCATCTATACAAAATGATGTGAGCCAGAATATTTTGAAGTCAATTTTTGATTTTAACTGTATGTAATTGCGGACCAAGGCACATGTCTTCTAAATTTTTCACTATTGTACAAAATATTTGAATTAAATTCCTTTATAATCTAATGTTACCTAACACAAAATTATCAAAGTTAACTTTTCCTTGTTTATGGTCTTGCACTTATGTTTGGGAAGTATTGGCCAATATCACAAGTATAAAATATTTGATCCGTATTCATTTTTTCTTGAGAGTACAGTGGAATAAGCAAATAAACTATATAGGCCTACTTCAGATGATTCCGATCATTCCAAAAATATGAGCTATATTTCATTTTATATATATACGTATTTTTGTGCCGAGGAGATGTAAAAACGCAATGATATATAAACGCATACACATCATAAATTATAGCGTACCCACTACCCAGTCAATTTTGTATTCAAATTTAATTACATTTCTGCTAAAAAAAATTATTGTTCGTAATGCACCGATTTAAAAAAAAAATAAACATGTATATACAATAATGCGAATAACTAACAGCAACTTGAAATTTTTGTTGCCGTTTTTATTGACCGGGATTTGCTGGATATAATATTTACCTATATAGTGCTAGCAGAAACTACTTTCAATATATTTTGCAAAAAGACATGGCGTATTCCCTTTTCTATCTCTCTAATAGCAGCCATTTATAAAGATTTTCATTCATTATGGTGAGAACTACATCGGCTTTTCATAGTTATACTGCAGATAGGCAAGTCGCACAACTTTCCAAAGGATATCCAATATGTTTCGAATAAAGACGTTAATTGAGACCGAAGAAGACAATCAACAACTCTATATTTTTATGTAGAATGATTATGAATTGGTACAATCATTAAAAAACGTTTTTTGATTTTGTTAGCGAATGAGAAAACTTTGATACCGTAGTTCGATTCCGAGTTCAGGGAAAAAAATTAAAATTATTGCTTATTCTAATCCCCAAGAGTACATCAACCATACTTTTATTTTCTATTTCTATTATTCTATTTTCTAACTATAAATTTTTGAAATTAAGGGCTCCCATATTTTAGCGAACAAAGTTGGTCGTTCCTGATCCTGTTTTGAAACAAATAAAACCTTCAGCTGCATGATATTTCAGCATTTCCAGTTTTCAGATAAGTCGATCGTCATAATCCAAAATTGAGCAATTATAAACTTTCATGATTTGCCTGTACTTTTGTACGTTTAGATAAGAATATTTATAACGTGTGTAACAATATTACTCATTTATCGCGTAGGTGTATTAATGACATACAGTACACAACAAAGGTTTGTGCCCGAGGCGTTGAGTAGAGCAGACTTGTTCGTAAATGTGGATTTTCCTAATACTGCCTGCGTTAAAGAACATTATAAAAATTAAAATACATACTTCGAAATTGGGAAACGTCAATTTAGCATTACTGAATATTGCTTTTATGTGTACCATTTATAAAGGTATTTTGGATACTTGAAATCTTGGGTTCGAAACCTATATAGTCTCGAGATCAAATAGTAACCACAAAATCAGTCCGTATGTAATTTATATGCTGTAACATAAGCAAAACACTGTGTCTTGGATATCCGATTTGGGTAATTGTGATAGGAGGTCATTTGTTGCAAAATATTTGGCTTTTTTTTTTTAAATACAATCGGTTTACAAACAAAATGCATTGTTGAAAATTTGTATTCAAAATCGACTGGTACGAAATTTCATCATATTTAACGATTCACTGTAATTCAAATTTATTTAATAGACAACTTTTTATGAGGAAAATTATTTTAAAAATCATATTTGATCAAGACAGTTAATTGGGTGGTTTATAATCAAACGGTAAAACATGGACTTAGACATAGATAATCCAGGTCACTACGGTACATCACGTTGTCGTTTCTGACCGCAAATTTTCAACGTGTATCATTATCTCATCCAGTCTAAACCTAAGTTGTCGATTTTGTGCAAAACTTACTTTCGCATTCATGGATTGCTATTCAATGCATACGTTTTATCCAAACATTTATGTGTTTTGAACTTAAATATTTGTATTATTTCTGTCCAAATGTTCAATAAAAATCTTGCGATTTTTTTTTCATTAAGGACATGTTACTTCTTTTTCCTTATTTTTGAGTATCAGTATGGAATGTGTTTGTTAGAATTTTGTGACCTTTTCTTTGATTACCTTCACTTGTGGAATGTCTATTTGACATATTCCTGTCTCAATTAAAATATTATCGTGTGTTCCAAAATAACTAAATTACATCAAAACGTACTAAATGAGCCAGACGTGGAGGAAAACTTCATTAGTAACCAATTAAATGGACAGAAAATATTTTTATTTCCTGAATTAGCAATAAGTGTCCAAATAAAATTGATCACATTCAACATAAATATATAATTGTCTTCCCTAAACAAGTGCCGGAGTAATAATCTTTGGGTTAGGAATTGAACACACTGCAGACAGCATCATTATGTAGACATTAGATCTGCCTCGAAAATACTATAATTCTCGATTTCAATAAAGAAATGTGAACAAAATCAGGAACACAGAGTTTTTTCTAGGAAATTTCGTGTAGCTGTTTTTATATCCCACTAAATGAAAATAATTTAAGATTTGAACAAAATAATTTACTAATTGTGGCAGTCTCAATGACCTTTACAGTCAACGGGGTAAAATCTTTTCCCCCTATGCATATGTATATGGAAGCAGTTTTGCAACTGAGTATTGGTCGAAGCACCCGAGTTTGAAATTTAGAAAAAAATATAGTTGAATATGAAATTCATTATCGTAAGATGATATGAAGACTGTATATTTAGTCCAAACGATCAGAGTTTTCAGCTGATAATAAAATATAATCTATTTGTATGCTACATTTTTAATTTCAGCACAATACTAATATTTTTTCTACAGATAGGAAAAAGGTGTCACAAAAAAAAGTTGGTGCAGTACCCTTTTTTTATAAATGTTATCTTAATATCAATTTCTCTAACAATAGGCCTACTTGATTTATTTTGTTCACAGATAAAATACACTGGATACAGAGATAGAGGAGCCGAAGAACGTCAACTGAGATTTCAAAATAGTTGTCAGTCAGGAAGGGCCGAAATCGTAAGTTCCATAAAATCATAGATGAAGTAAAAAAATTAGTTTTTCGTAGGTATGTTGTCTGCATTACAAGTACGACGTGCGGCTTGTGATTGTACAGTACAAAAGGCCACTGTCCAGTCTGATATTACATACTAGATTTCACTCCAGCTTCCCTGAAAATAATTCGCCTGCAAGGACGGAACAGCCAGCTTGAAAAGGGGCTTATGTACTGTAATTAATTGCGTTGGAAAATCGGAATTATATACAAGCAAAGGTATTACAGGAGCGATCTCATCCACAGTTGGAACCACACAATTAATCATATCTGTATTTTGTGGCTGTCGGTTCCATACTGTTTTTTTTTTCATTTCCTAACTCACGGCTAATCCTGGTTTGAGGTCATTAGCAAGGCAAGGATGGGAGGCTCAACTGAATATTCCGACACGGGGGTTCAATAACTAACCACAGTACCGGTAGCCTGTGCAACTCATACGAAAATGTGAATGAGCAGTGAATTCGCAAAATCAAAACCACGGACAGTCGTGACGTAGTCGGTCACGCTTGACGGATTGAAAACGATGTTCCCATGAATAAATAAAAGATTGGCGTCAAAATATGACATCTCATAGGACTCGAAGTGAATTAAAAATATTTATAAGTAATAGCTTTTTCGCGAGTACTTCCATCTTTAAGTACTGGAAAATCGAAATCGCTTGGACCATTAGTTACGAGAGTTCTCTGGACTCTCCGTGTCGACAAACTGAATTCCATCCTCATATCTTTGAATTATCAGGCACCTTTTGTGATTCATCCAAATCCCACACAGATGACAAACTTCAAATTATTTTCGACTTGTGATCAATGTCAAGAATCGTAACCTTCATCTTTTTTATTCAAAGCAAAACTGTTGGTTCTGTTTTATGCTATTCTCTCATAAGAACGTTAGCTGTGATAATCTCTCTTCACCCCTCACAATTTGGCATTGTTTCGATAAAAAGATTGTTATCACGCGGTCACTGCTTAATTGTATCATCAGCGTGTAGTTGTTTTTGTATGACTTGTATAGAATTGGTTGTAAAAACCATCAAGTATCATTTCATTTTAATAGAACTTCACTAAGAATGCTATTTTTCATTTAGTTAACAGTTCTCAAAATAGCACAAAAGTCTATGAACTGGTGCATCCTACAATGTGTAAAAATTGCTTATTATATTTTTAGCATAACATATTATATATATCTTGATTTAAAATGATAAACCAACAAATGATATTTTTATACACAAATGTCGTCCACATTACTTTTGTGGTTTATTCTGGCATATACTCACCATATGGCAGTTTAGGTTTAACCTTCCATTAACTGTATGTCATGATTGTACTTATCGGTTCACACTTGGATGGTCGTATCACTATTCGACTAAATCTGATCTCACAGAAGTAATGAACTTGGCTTTTTCTCTAAAACAGTTGGGAAGGTCTCTAGGGAACTTGATCCCATTTTTATCTCATTTTCACCTATTCATTCTCGCTTCGAATGCCATATGCGGCTATTACCGTTCGTCTGCAAACACAGTCACGGTTTTTTTTTCGTTTTTAATGTTATATTTACAAGCCGCTCACATGTTTTGGTGTAAATGTGAATTCAATTTACCTTACACTTACCTGATGAATAGTGAAATTTGATATACTTATGTAAATACTGGAAGATTTTATAGACCTCAAAATACAAAGCAGCAAATTATTAGCAGATGAAACTAAAGTGTTACTATACGCAAGTTTCCAACTTACTTTGTAATTAAATATAGCGATAAACGCATTATATTTTTACCCTTCTGTTAATATAAAATCTGGGTATTTATTTATGGATTGTAGTATATCGGGTGAAAAATGGACTACAGTCTTGTTATTGAAGTTTTCTTGGTTAATTATGTTCCTGATAAACGCAATGATTACTAACTTCTGCAATGTTATCGATCAAAATTAAACAAAAATATCTTCAGATTTTTTAGAAGCTTTTCTTGTCGTTGGTTAGATTCGAAATTTTGTTTCAAATAACAAATTATGGGACTGTGGATAGACTCGGCTGTTGCGTATCTTACTGGAAAACTATTCCATTTCGAATTTAAATAGAATAAAACTAACTTACATAGAATAGACGTGATTTTGGAAAGTCGATTCTAAAAGATTCCGTGGTTCGAATCTAAATTAAGCCTATTACATCTCAGCCGCGGTATTATACTTTCAAATGACAGACACTTCGGGATCTTGATATTCAGTTCGACAATACTTCATGTATGGCCAATTTTCACTCGGTGGCAATTTAATTTTGGAGGTCTGGTGGTAAACCACACGTTGTTTACCGCTTTTACCCTCCCTCGAGTATTTCCAACTCCCTACAGATTAACTACATATACCAATCATGACTTGTAGATAAACAAGCTTGCCAATTCCTCTTTTACATGGACCGTGCTAGTTTGTGAATTAGTATTAAATTAATTCCTAACCGCCTTATGGGCTTAGACTTAGAATAAGGCTGCAGAAAATTGAAATTTTCTGGACGGAAGAGCATTGAACTTCTCCGCTCTCAATTATTCATGGCGTGATTTGCTGAGTTTATTCGTTTTTGAAGGCAGCGGTTTAATTGTGCAGCGTCGAAATGCAAGAAAAGAACACTCACTTATATGCAATTCAACTTGAACTTGAATACTTTGAAACAAACTATATTGTAAAGTACTAGTTTTGTAAATAGGCTTCCAAACATTACCATCTGTCGCTCCGCTAAACGCTTTTAAGCTTGCAGCCAAATCTGAGCTTCAAGGCTGCAAGCAGAAAGCGCAAATTTAATTACTGCAAAAAACATTTTCCATCTTCAAAATCTTTTCGATCACGCGTAGCAGGTAACCACATGGTTTTTTTTATTTAGTCATTCAAATTAAAATATAAACAATAACTTTTTCCAAATTTTCGTTGGATCAAAATTATCCAAATCTTGTTTGTGAGAGTAGCATATCTCTTTTTTCGCAAACATTTACGGTGAATTTGTGCTACAAAAAGAAGCAATATCTACTACTTTTTTAGGACGTACAGCACGAACATTAAGGCTTTATTGTATTGAAAACTGTTTTAACTTATTTTATTTTTTAATTTAGCCTAACTGCTGGTTTTTGGTCTATTTATCATACTATTTTCGGAATCGAATCAATGCTTCATTTTTTGCGGATATTTTATGAAAGCGAATTGAATAATTTATTCACTTCATTTGGCCGCTGGCTGCATGTATTAATTTGGGCTAATTCCATACCGTTTGATGTTGACTGTAGGCATTGTTTGGCACCATTGATGTCTTTTGTTCTATCTATTATTGTCGATTTCACTCCAAATATAACATTTTCACTTTTTACTGCCCTAAGCTTGTAATGGCATAAGGTCCTGGCAGTTATATTTCCTTTGATTAGGCATAATCCAGCAATGGGCCAAAATAAAGATATTTAGACATATATATTTTAGATACAACTGATTAGTACACGCACATTTCCATCCTTGAATCTGACATAGCAAATAAACAGGTGTCTAATTCCAAAGTTCACCTTGGGTTGATCTTGTTTTCTAGTCACGTTTCCTGATCTTGAGAGTTTGTTTAGGATTTTATTGTCAGTATCAGGAATAGGGGTAGAACACCTGTGATGCATTACGATACGACTCAAAAACGTTATCCAATCTTGGGGGTGATTCCATACCCATTATATAATAATGGGTACGGGTTCTTTTAAATCATAAGATAGTGCGTTTTGAAATATCAGTAAGATATTCAATGTATGAACCAAATTACATTAATCACATAAGGATTAGCTATAGGATACATCGCTTTAAGCTCGCATTACAGTGCGAATACAATTTGCACAAAAAAGTCTATTCATTTTATTATTGCTGCATGGTCCATAAGTTTTCATTTTTTCGACAGGGTTTGGCTTGTAAACAAGTTTATAAACAAGCAACCATGCTGTATGTTATATAATTTGGGTTATTTCAACTTTAAATAGAAATATTTGGGTTCATGATTCTAATATGTGCTGCTTGGACCTGAACAAGTTTAGATAGCTTTAATTCCGTTTTCTTTTATTTTATTTCATTGACTATCATCAAATTTATTCGATACCAAATTCTAATTAAATTATCTTACCATTTCTTAATCTTATCTTTCCCTATTATCCTATACAACATGTGTAATTGGCTTTTCCGCAATATGACACAGGAGAAACCACATAAAGATACGCAATTTCAATTGGCATTGGGGTCAAAGAATTGGATACGTGGTATTGGGTTGCTTGACAATGGCGGTTTGGCAACAATGCCAAGTGACAACCGCAAATGCCACATAAATATCGGACAAGTGGCATTCATTTTATTATTTTCTTCTCTTTAAGCAAAAAAAGTAGGATGATCCACTATAATTCCATTGAAATACAAATGGTTTTGGTGTGGACACTGGATGTTCACTTATGCATATGCTTAAACTGTATGTAAATAAATGCATATATTTTTGCATGCATTACTTGTGTTGATAGAATTTCAAAAACATAAAATACTTCGCCTTCAAAATATGTATTTGAATGAATATCGTTTATTCCTTCTTTCTAGGCATTTGTCAGCACAGGTACGAACTTGACTTTACAATTTTTCCCATGGAATACTGAAAACACACAAAATATGAATCCACCGAAAGAATATGTCAATTTTGAACGAGAACCAGGAAAGGTAACAAATATATGGAATTTAAAATATCATTTTACTAACGTACGTGTCTCGTGACTGAATCGTCAAGTTATGTAGAAACTATTATAGTTTTATTTTTTTGTTTCAATTCTATATGTGTGTTGAATGGTTCCATTACATTTGAACCCACGTACATTTGAACCCACGACGATTGCACCGGCATACTATTGCACCTATGGAAATTTTTGTTGTTTTACGGATATTTGAACCCATACTAACCCTAACCCATGGGTTTAGCACCCGCATATAGATTGAACCCGCGAATATACACATGGGTTCAAATGTACGTGGGTTCAAATGTACGGTCACCGTGTTGAATATATATAATTTGTAACCTAAAATTGATAAACTCGTTTGTTTGTACTCATATACGTTTTTCCCAAAGTTATATTGGTCGAAATTGTTTTTTACGCTTCAATAATGTTGGTAGTTGCAATTTATTTTAATGATGTCTAGTTATCTTTTACTTAAAATAATTCAGCTTGAAGTAATGTCATCAGCAATTCTGTCTTCCATCCAAACCTCTTTTATGTATACAAGCGCACACGCTTGTAATGTTTTATGGGCGTTTGCTACTCGATTCGTTTATACATTGAATCGCTTTATTACATTACAGTAACTGAAATAACAATAAATATAGCTTGGTTGGTAGACTTATCGCCTGGATCTACGTGATCTCAAGTAATGTGCAACTTGTACAAGCACACAATTTTCAGTGTAAGTATATTTGTGCTGGCCTGCTTGAATTGACGTCACGCGAATATCTGATATAAAACTCTGGACCTTGAACTTGATGATGTCATTACTGGATCGTTATGGGTTCAATTAACGCGTCATAGGAAAGTGATTATTCTGGAAGTAGTTGAAATCGTTACTGCGTCGTTATATGTTTCTATGACTTCCGTATTAGTCTCTGCATGTTTGATGGAAACTTAACATACAGAGCAATCAGACGTGAGCCACATAATGTAAATCTATTCTCGATTAAGTGTTTCATTGTTATCTCATAATGTAAAGAACAACTTTGTTCCAATCAATTAACATTAATGGTATCGTCAACATTATTTCAGTTATAGTCAAGAACCCGTTTAAACATAGGAATTTTGAAAGCTGAAGGACGTCGTAATTTGAACTGTGCACTGGGCGGAAAAACATAAATTTTGGGAGAGAGTTTGTTGTTTTGATTTGCCGCACGATTTGTTTTGTCTACAAATAAAATACTTCGTTCCAGTTTTACACCTTTTCAAATATATTCCATAACCGTGAACTGAACGCATGTTTATGAACGTAGAATGCAGTATATGATACCAGTAGTGTGATCAAGCGCATTTTAACAAGGTGAAAATAAAACGGATTATAACATATCATACTTGCAAGGATTTCAACCAAGCATGTGATAGATGTAATTATGAATGTGCTAATTATATTTTAAAAAATTATAGGAAAATAGTCAATGCATAAACAGACAACGTAGTTTAATCAAAATATCACTCGGTGCCAGACAATGACGTTCATATGTTTGTTTGCATAGATTGAATACCGTAGGAAATATCGGGAAAAAAACAATCTAAGTTTTTGTTCTGGTATTTTTTTATTTTTAATCGGATAACGATTAAGAATTGGAAAAACAAAAACACGGTTTGCCTTTTACGGCTGGTTATAAAATTTGAGGTAATTTGATTCTGAGTTGACTATTATGAAATAAAATAAAAAAAGATGACGGCAATGTTACGTAACTGTACCAGATTGCTAGTATCCACAATTGAAATTTACTGCTCGAACTTAATTTGGCCCAGCATCATCTCATTTTTCTTAACTTTTGGCGAAGAAGACACAGCTTCATGCAGGTTTTCTATAATACGGTGATCATTGGTGAAGTGTAATGTGAAGGTCCATTCACCCATATCATTGTTTTCTCAGCCATATGATTCGTGCATATTTTGATTGCGTACATGATAAGGATTTACATTTGTTATTCGATAGGATTTTTGCGCGGAATCTATGTAATAAATACGAATATAGCACCTATTGCAAGCGCGCTCTTTCATGGACTGAACGCCCATAGAATCAGAAATTTTCAATCCGTTGCCTTAGTTTATTAATACAACCAATAGTATTAATCGTTTATGTCGTTGAACGATTGAAAAAGTTATACCACGTGGAGGCGCGTAAAAACTATACAAAAATGTCCATGTCTAGGCTAAATTTCCAATCTGTTGCTCAGTCGCACAATTCAATAACACTCTTTCTATTGTATCAGTTCCTTTATATTAAGTGACATATGTGTAATTTTCAGGTATTTCTAAAAGCACCGTTTATTTTGAATGGCGTGTGCGTACTGTGGAAAGGATGGTTACATTTGCATAGGCTGGAAGGGATGGGCTGTATCGAATATGACGAAGAACGTGCAATGGTAAATGATAATGTCAATGAAAGGATGTTCGTATTTTACGCATGATGACATTTTCTATCTCACTATACACCAATGAGTACAACTCTAATCCAAAACTACAAGAACTAAAAGAATTTTTTAATTTTCTCTGAAAAACTAATGATTTTCAACAGCTTCAATATGCTGGTACCTAATTACGTATCCATATTCAAAGAAAGCTTAACAATACCATACATCTTTTCTTAGGTTGAAGCGTCTCATATGGCAAACTCGTCACAAAATTCCGCTTCTCAGTTACATAAGATTTCACAGAGTCATAAAAACCAAGTGAGTTTTTCCCCCTTTTTTCAGTATTATTTCGAAATAAGTATTACATAAAATCCAACTTTCGTACGTCCCGCCCGTAATGCTCCGTCGATCTCGAGAGCCTGCTTTTCTGTACTTGGTTCTTGAGCAAGCGTAGAGGACTTTCTAAAGTGTATATTTATGAGAAAAAAGATGCTACATGATATATACATGTGATGTTATGTGTGATCTCCAAAATACCTTGAATTAATGCAAGAAATAAATCATATATTCACTTCATTGATATATTAATTTCAGAATCACAAGCATCCCTCGTCGGGTGGAAGCGGAGGAGGACAGCTTGAAAAACGTCCACGTCTCCACTAGCAGGAATCGGACAATGTCATTAGCAGGATGACCAAAAACAAAACCTGTTTTATGCTTCTTATTTCTTTTCTTTATATATGTTTTTGTTTTTAAATAGGATAATGCGTATCATCAAACCATTTGTCAATTTAGGTATACGAGGATCTTTTTTCGATAAAGGTTCCAAGGCACGATAACGTAACTCTATATTTGTCATTTACTCTGCTTACCGAAATTCACAGTGACTAAATTCAGATACAAGGGCATAATAGGTATATCGGGACTACGACTATATCTTGAACTACGACTCGTAACAGGGTGGCATGGATTTCGTAAAGTATAAATCGCACACCACACAAAAAACAACGCATCTTTTAGCACGAAGGGACACTTTTGATAGCAGACCTCAAGCAACTCAAAAATACATCGCAATTTAACTAAACTATATACCGTAAGCATGTACAAGTTTTACAAAAAATAATTTGGCTTTATTTGGAGGAAGGTTCAAGGTATTTCAAGATAAGTCATTTGTGTGGTTGAAAGATCCCACGTGACAATCACGTGTGGCAAATTGAGTTTCAAAAAGTTGCTGCTTTATAATCGACGAACAAAGTCGCGTGTGTCGAATGTAAATCAATAAGAACGAAAACCAACTCGCCATATTCGACGGTACTTCATTATGCCCATCGTATTCCTAACTTGACCTAGACCCATTCTACAACCCTGTTTAAAAAATTCGAAGTACGCTCGCGCTTTTGTTAAAACCAAAACTTTAGTTGAGGGCGCCTGTGTTTTTAATCAATTACACAGAATCGAGCGTGAAATAACAATGTATTATGCTTAGTAAACAGGCTATATTGCGTTGGCAAGTTTGATCGGAAAATCATATTTTAGGCAAGAGAGATCCCCGCCGGAACAAACGAACAACCATTGGTCCGTGACGTCAGCGTCGCTCCGTCTAGACGCCGTATACGTGAGCTATGTTTGTATGTGCGGTGTGTCCGCTTGTTTTTTGTTGCGGGTCGCAACCTGTACCAGAATAGAAGTTGAAATTCCGTTAATGCGCGATGCGCAGCACATCCGGGAGTCTAACTAACTTTGCAAATTGGTTCGCTTTCGCTTCCACGAACAACCTAAACTTGGATAATAAATCTACCTACTGTTAATAGTTGTGGAAGCAGTAAAGTTACCAAACTGAAGTGAAAGCATATGCACGAGATTTGGGCGCTATTCACGCAGAATCTTGATGTGATTTCATCGGATAAAATGACTGGAGATTTGATATTCCAAACGACCCATCTCAATACTTAGTGAAATCATGACTCAATATCGATATGGGTGTTTTTGTCATGAGGAATTCAAACAATATGCTCTATTACCCCAACTAACGGTCACTTTTGAATCTTGTCACAACGCAAGATTTGATCAGAACCGTTTATGCTTATCAGTTATTTAGTCAAAACCAAGCATTCTGTACAGAATTGAAATCGATATTCATGAATGACAGAATTGTTCAATTTGTAACACATATTGAAGTATTCTCGTTTATTACCTATATTTTGCAACTTTTTTTAATATACTACAAGCATAACATCGTAATTGACTATAATATATTGCCTGTTCTATATAGTACGGCGTTCATTACATCCGTCGTAGGGAGTTGAGGAACTTAAACTTAGCCTCGAATTATGCTTATTTATTTGCCCGATTGAATGCTATATATTAAGAACAATTTGCCGACTAAGTCATCTTAAATCTCACATATTGAACAATTACCGATACAAACTGAATTTCGGAAAATACTTAACTTCTTTTTTGAAGAGTTTGCCAGATGATGATTTGATAAACTAATCACATTTGCTGTCCATCATAAATCGAGGATAAGTTTTCGTTTTTTTTTTTAAACAACCACTTATATCTTTTTCCAAAAAGTTCATTTCTTACGGACTGTTGTTGAAAAACTGTATAACAGTGACGAAAAAGATATTCCGTTTTAGAATCAAACATTTTTGTCCATATTTTTATACATGTTACTTACTTATTTTGAATATTTTGGGGAAATGTTAAAATTAGGTATTCATGTTCTAGGACTCATTTACGATTAATCAGCATTACGTTTGTAATCATTTCATGTTAGACTTTTCAGTATGATGGCAATAGGGCAATTATAAGCATTTTGCCTTTTTAATGTATAGTATCTGTAAGATAATAGTTGGTCCTGTCGAATATTTTATTTTCTACATATCAGCTTTTCATAACTTTTGTTTATGGAAGCTGAAGTTATTTTTGTTCACATTTGCAATATGTGCGTTATTCGTTGATATCATTCAATGAATGCATCTCGCTAATATGAACACTACTAGAACGCTTTATATGATGCTATTTTAGCTGTCTTTTAATTTTATTATCAGCTTGCCCACATAATATGAAAAAAAAAAACGATATAAATTTGAGAATGATTCCAATTTCCATGACTACTAATGTAAACATTGGCCACTCTAAATATATATACAGATCACAGAAATGAACTCTCGGAAAAACTAATATTTATATATATATATATATATTCATAGAAAATACATGAACAAGAGGTAAGACGAAAACGATATATATTTTGCAAACATTTCGAATGTTTTCATAACATTACCATGTTCACAGTTATAAGTTGCAGAGAATATAGCCTATTAGGGTTCAGATTTTTGTGATTGTCTCGTAATATTTCTGAATTATGTAGTCTATACAAAACGTAATTTTTAATAACATTTCAACACTATAAAACGCAAGTTCTACCGAATGGTCAAGATTTATTGAATCGTATCGTTTACTCATCTGGTGTTTCGTGTGTTTTCAGTGCATTTTATATATCGTATACATAATTTCTATTGATGAGTTTTTGTCGACGATTTTTGACCCACGTCAATGTGTCATGATGCAATCACTCTTCTCAGATTGATGCAAAGACTAATTCATAAAA